AATACAATTGCTCAAAACAGATAATATTTTATTAATGTACGAAAGGAAAAGGGAAGAAAAGAGAAAACAGGCGTATTCATAGATCGGTGCACTTGAATTGAGCACAAAAACGATTAATAAGCATGAACTGAGCACAAACGGACGCCTGAATTGAGCACAGAGATTTTCTTACCTGCAAGTGTTTAAATAAACACCGGAATTGAGCACAAGCCATGTTGCCAGCTTTCTTTTAAAATATCTGTAGGGATTTGAGTTCTTTTTGAAGCAGTAGATAGGTAAACGAGTAAATTTTCTAATGGAATGTTGTAACGAAAAACAATATTTACTTTGAATTATTTTGTTTATTGGTTACAAGTACTTATAGGATTAATATTTCAACTTTATATTAGATATATAATATTAACTTAACTAACGATATTTTTATAAGAAACACATTTTGCATAGTCGTATCTTGATATTTCACCATCACTTAGTTAGCTTTATTTTTTGATCAATAAAATTGATTTTGAACAGTATTTTTCGTCTTAATTTTTTTTTCAGCTTGGTTAATTGAATTTATTTTTATGTAAGTGTCTGTTTGAATTTCAATCAGAACCTTTAAAAAAGAATAGATATTGGGATGCGAAGAGACGTTTTCCTTCTTAAATTTCGAATGGAATGCCTCACAAGTGTTGGTTGTTTTAGAGACACTAGAAGACTATTCGGCCAAAATTTCATTGAAGACATGTTATTTATTGTACAAGACAATGATAACTATAATTGCATAAGGGTAGTCACTTGTTTTTGTTAATTTCTCCCGCCCTTTACAAACTAGTTATATTTGGCAACATTACAACGTTAATGTTGTTCTTATCATCAGTAATTTTTTTTGCTATTATATATGATCCCTGTGCTCAATTCCTTTCTTGATAAACAAACCCACGATAATTACTTCTTTACCTACTTACGCTCTGTGCTCAGTTCGAGTGTCACCTTATAGATTAATGCATTTTGTTGAGGATTTACATACAGATACGTGAAATTCAATCGGCCAAATTAAATACTTAAAATAGACCCTTTGAATTATCTACTTACCTAGAAGACAATATTAAGTCATTTATCTATACAAAAATGAAACAATGGTTTTTCATTTACACCGCTTAAAGAGACTTTTAGCACAAATGGAAAATTATATCTATATATGCACGTTGTTTTTATGTTCATAATGGAGAAAACAATGAACTGCTTTTTGCCAGTTAGATGATACGTACCTGTGTTTCGCAAAATAGCAGCATTGTCTTCGTATAAATGTAGGTACTGGAGATAGGAAAACCATTCTACGTAATATATATATAGGGTTGTTCGGAAAGTCATTTCGTTTTTTTTTTGTGGAAATGAAAGACAGTTTTCGTATAATAAACAAATACTTTATTAAATTATATATTGACCGTTCTGGTCCAACACCTTTTGCCATCTTTCTGGTAGTAGCATAATTCCACGCTCATAAAATTTTGGAGTGACCGGAACAAATAATAATCCGATGGTGCCAGGTCTGGAGAATATGGTGGGTGTAGCATTGTATCCCATTCAAGCTGTAAAAGCTTTTGGCGAGTGACCAAACTTGTGTGAGGTCTCGCGTTGTCTTGGTGAAACACTACACCTTTCCTGTTGATTAGTTCTGACCTTTTCTGTTGAAGTGCATCATTCAGTTTGTCCAGCTGATGACAGTAGACTTCCGAATTAATCGTTGTGTTATCCGGTAAAAGCTCAAAAAAAACGATTCCTTTAAAATCCCACCAAACAGACAGCATCACCTTTTTTTGGTGAATATCGGCTTTGGAAATGGTTTGAGCCGGTTCATCTTTTTTGCTCCATGACCTCTTGCGTTTGACGTTGTTGTATACAACCCATTTTTCGTCCCCAGTGATGATGCGCTTCAAAAACGGATCATTTTCGTGACGTTTGAGAAGCGAATCGCAGACGTCAATGCGGCGACACAGATTTCTCTCTGTGAGAACATGGGGAACCCATACATCGAGCTTCGAGGATAATCCCAGGCCTTTCAAGTGGTCATAAACTGTTGAATTTGATAAATTTAACCTCAATCCGATCTCACGTGTTGTTATTCGCCGGTTCACATCAACTAATGCCTTTATCGCGTCTTTATCAGCTTCAACCGGCCTTCCCGAACGTGGTGCATCTTCGACATCAAAATTGCCGGATCGAAATTTAGCGAACCAGTTCTGGCACTGGCGTACTGTCAACACACCTTCTCCATACACATCAGTCAATTTCTTTCTGGCTTGAACAGCATTTTTACCCTTTCTGTAGTAAAACAGTAAGATATGTCGAAAATGCTGCTTATCGCTCTCCATATTTAAAAGGGCACCAACCAAAAACTACTGCGTAGAATTAATTGGAATTTTTCACACACAAGCCTTGCTATATGAGCTCTCAAAGCATATAAAAATTATACGGCTTAAATGTGAAGTTGGGTGTTAAAGAATACAATTAAATCCTCTGTCGGGAAAAAACGAAATGACTTTCCGAACAACCCGATACATATATGCAATGTTCATAGGTATATATTATCCAGCCGAACTTTCAATTTTATTATTCATCAAATATACTACAGATCGGTAGATAAATTAATTTAAATAACTTAAGGAGAATATTCAGTAATCTTTTCACTGCATATGGGATATTCCAAAACCTTTTTTGTACCTTTACAGTGAGATACAAAGAAAAAAATAAATTTGGGTTCTGGATGAAATAAGTTGAATAAAAAAGTAACCTACGATATTTTTCCTCTTCTAAACAGATTTCTCGAAGAAAATGAGTTACAAGTAACATCATTAGTTGTTGATAAATCCATAACATCCATTGAACCTCAAAAAATCTTTGAAATAATATTTTCCAGTGGAGTTACAGGACAGCTACTGAGTACAAACCCCATTCGCAAATCAGACTAATCCATCAATGTGTCAGACTATGAGAACTTGATCGATATTAAAAAACCTCTCTAAAACAAACATTCGAAGCAGCTGATTCAAATTTGAATAACTTTTGGATGAATACCCTGAGTTGTTCAGAAGATTGTTATCATGGTTTCTGTTTCGGTTTGTATCAATTTACAGTGGTCTTAAGCGTAAAATTATTATCAGTTCACTCTTCGCCATGATGAGGTTCCGCCAAAACAGAATGAGTTAAAAAGGGTTCCGTAATAAAACAAAACTTGGGAACCGCTGCTTTAGAGAACTGAAGTTTATGTTTTATATGGGTCTTGAGCAGTTAATTTTGAGCTGTTCTATTATTTAGTTTTAATGCAATTTATTTAAAATGAACCAGTCATTCTCAAGAGTAATCTAACTACTACTACTGTCTGGATTACTCTTGGGAATGACCGGGATAGTTGAGTGGGTATGTCGTCTTTCATAGTTGTTAAGAATGTTTTATTAAACGTCCAACTTTAATGAGCGAGGTTCTAAATCAATAAGTGCCGTATGTGCCAGACTACTCACTAAAATGAGTGCTAGCTAGGTTTGATTAACTGCCCCTGAAGCCCAGAAATATTTACTACGGAGACGTTTATAGTTGTCTGCATTTAACTTGTACGCAAATATAGCCGATGATAAACACAATACTACAATTAGCATTGTTTAGTATGGTGAATCATATGCTAATGATTTATTCTTCCCTTTAATTACACTGCAGTATTGTTGCTCTAAATATTATTTTCATATATGACCGACAATCAAACAGTGTAATGAACCGAACAATGGATAGGAATCTAAACAACAAAGATTTCATGCTCCTAATTCATAAAATATGGATGTTGTAATCAAAAATTTATAGATGTTGAAGGAAGCAAATACCAGAAATACCTAAACCCGTTTTTTATTTAATGCGTAAAAGGGGAAGTTTTCTAATTGATGTATGAAGCTGGGTGTTTGAAGGAAATATCATAAATGAAAATTTAAGTTTGTTTGTTCGTTTATTAATAGAAAAAAAAATAGTTTTGTGGTCGATTTCACGCCTTAACTACTCAATCAACCATCATGAAATTTTATAGACACATTGTTAGTGGTACAGAAAATGGCATAGGGTATCTTTTATACCGAAAAAATACTGTTCCCGAGGGATAAAAAAATTAGTCCAATGTGGTTGATTTCACGTCATAACTACGCAACACATTGTCAGAAGTATATAAAAGCACATAGGATATCTTTTTTCCAGAAAAATATTATTCCGAGGGATAGAAATAATTACAGTCTATTTCAATTTGTTAGAATTGTGACCTTGAAGAAATCTGCGCGAAGATAGAAAGAATACACACTAGGCGCGAGCAAGACAGAAATAGTTGGAACAAGCTTGAACGAGCAGAGCTCTCCATGGGCGGTCTTAGGAGATCGGCTAGAACTGTACAGTACTAGACGAAAATGTTTAGCAATTTCTTAAAACAAAAATGTATATAAATTAACAATAGAAAACAAAGCAGAAGTTTTATAGGTGTGTAGAACGTTAACTTAATTCACTTGTTATTATTTTTGGCTAAACATGCTTTTAAATAAAGCATACTCTTAAATTTTATTGAAACACTCTTAAATAATTTTGCAAATGGTACTGTACACTTTTGTCTAGTTCTCGCTTGATAATCGGTGGAGAAATGAGCTCTGCAGACAAATATGATTGAATTTGGAATTATGCTAAGGCGTATCCTAATAAACGAAAGGGGCATATCTCTAACTTCTTGAAACGAACAGTAGTTTTATGTGGTCGATTTCACATCTTAACTACTTAATTGATCATCATGAAATTTTATAGACACATTGTCAGGGGTACAGAAAAGGACATAGGGTACCTTTTATCTAGATGACATAATGCCTTTCCGAAGAATAGAATAATTAGTTTTATGTGGCCGTCGATGATTTTTGACACGTATTTAAGACACCAAGACGTGCAAAGCCATGGGTAAAATCTAGTTAATAATAGTTTTAATAAAATTGACTTTTTTGCAGGTGCAGTCAGCCATGGAAAATACAGAGACCGTTGTATTTCTGAGCAGGATTGTATATTCCTAGGATCAAAGTGCGAGAATGGGATATGTGTCTGCCAATCGGAACTTCCTGCTACAAATCAAGTCGACAAATGCGGAAAAGGTACTCAGTCAGTCTTATATATACATTTATAACATAAAAATAGGAGACGAAAAATTAGAAGAAATCACTGATTTTTGATATCAAAGAAGTCTGACAACTTAGGGTGCAGTAGAGATATAAAACAAAGAATGGCGTAGGTTTGAACCGTCTAACAAAAAGAACTCACCCCAGAAAATTCCTTCGATCCTTTAAAATAAAAATAGGAGTAACTTATGTCAAATAATCAAGGAAAATCCTAATACGTGTTTCTACAGTTTAGCTGACATTTTCAGAGAAAAAATTAACTTCGTTCAAAGGAATTTTTTATTTTCTCTTTGTGCCTGAGTATTCTTCTGGCATTTCACTTCTTTTAATGATAGAAAGTGATAAGTACCTAACTCTAAATTCCTTGTATAGGAAAACGAAATATAAGAATGTGTAAGTAATAATTTTTTATCTTTTCAAAGGATTGATAATATAATTCTTTGGATCACAATAAACTTGATTGTTTCTGAACAGTATCAGCAGTGTCTAGCACCTTCAATTGTTCCTTTAATTTTAGGAAGTGGTCGTACTTTTTGCTTGTTGTACCTTTTTTTCATACCTTCTTGATTATTTATCGAAATCCTTTGATCACATGCTAATAGTTTGTCCATGTTTGTCGATGTTTACACTTTTGTTTTTGGTACTTCATCGTGTTATTGTTAAACTCAAGTGAACAAGAGGTCAAGTTGCTTTTGACCGCTTTAAGTTACTTATGCAGACGGTAGGATTTTCTTAAAGTGAACAAAGAATACGGCTTTTGATCAGTTGCCAAAAAGAGCGGCTTTTCATAAAGTAAGCGTAATGGTGAGAAACTGGCTTCTGCAAATACAGCAATATTATGAGAACGTTGTTATTCAAAGGGACTTAATTTTTATCCCAAAAAAGTTAAAATCTACGCCGCATTTTATTGTTATTAGTAATGAGCAAAATGAAGATTGGAAAAACTTTGGCGGTTGTTGTAGAACAAACAGAATAGTAAACAGTAAACTCAAAAGTTTACTTCAATCCCTGAAGAAGGTAACTTTGTTACCGAAAAGTGCTTCGGACAACTACAGTGTCGTTTTTTGGCGTTGTTGTTTTGAGCTATTCTGTTTGTTCTAGTAATGACCAAAGCAAGACATTTCAAGACTTGGTCTTGGTCTATCTCAAATACATCTAGTCTTGGTCTTGATATTACTGATATAGTTTCGGTATTGCTCTTGCGTAGCTCATTTAATCCGAAACTTACATTTTTTTTAATAATTCTTTGATCATCACTGATTGTTATTTTTATCAAATATAGTAAATGTCAATAAAAATGAAATTGGTTTCAAATAGTAAAAACATCATACAAGTTTGGTGGTAAAAATGTGAAACACCTAAAAAATGAACCACGTTTTAAGTAGGTAAATCATGTAATATGAAACGTATTAAAATGATTATGACGTCACAATTCAAATTTACCTAGCGTCTGATGAGAGCTATCCACTGTGCGTTTTACATCCATGCAGAGTCAAGCTCCAAATATACACGTTTAATAATGATTTGCGAATGTTTGCTCCTACAATATCCTAAATTAAATCTGAAGGGCCATTATATTTTTAAAAAGGGTGTATTTACTGACGAACTTCACCTACAGTCGGTTATTCATACATAAAAAAATATATCAGCGAGGTAAAATATTATTCAACATGAACATAAATAGAACTGTGCAGTACAAATGGGTGAATTAATATATTACGTAAACTTTCATGAAATCGCAGGGGCGTTTTAAAATTAAAATTTTCCTGAAAATTCACCGGTCTGATTGTTCTAAAATTAATCACGGTTACGCATAATATTCGCTGTATTTTCCAACAAAATCGTGGAATAAAAATATAGGTAAATCGTTTTACCGTAATATGTTGATTAGATTACATAGCCAAACTGACTGCGGCTGATCTATTTGCAATACGTACGTTCGTGCAGTGAAAATGTAAATGCTAGTTTAATAGTTTGCGATTATATTCAAATCGGAAATGTAAAATGCTATTTTAATGGCGTTAGTTGTTCGCTTCACAAACTAGCAAGCGACTGGCTAATCAAATGAGCGTATGACAAGCGTCCAGAGACAACACGCGGTTAACTTTGATTAAAAAAGTAAAACGGACCATATCGCTAATGGATCTTTTTACATTCCCCGGGATTTACCTATACAATAATGCTATTGTAGTTTGCAACAATTGAACTGTTATTAATAAACAATATTCGTCGAACTGAAATTTATACTAATTCTACATTATTTCCACAAAAAGGTTATTATATACTTTAGTGTTTTTTCGGTTTCCTTTTCAGGTACCACTAAAATGTTTCCTTCCCTCTAGCTAGTGCTAAAAGTGGGCAGTACTGTACTACAGTACTGCAACCGATCTCTACTTCTGCTTCCCACTGTTGCCAACCTACTACAAGAAAAAATTCCACGTGCAGGTCCAAAAAGTCCCATATTTTCTCTAAGAATCCCTCCAACTTATTACTATTATTATTTTTTAATTCGTTAATTTAATCGTTTATTCGAAGAAAAAATATACAATATTTTTGTAAACATGGACAACTTTTCGTGTCGATAGTATAATACCGATAATTTTATTGTATGTAGTTATCTCGTTTCCCAAAAATGCAGACAAAACCAGGCCTTGGGGGTTTAGATGTTTAGATGTTCGGATTTTGGAACAATACACCAATTCAAACATTTATTTTTATTAGTTTTAACATCTGTTTCTGATCTGTTGACTGGTCACTTTCAAGATGTTTGCTGAAGACCATACAATGATACGAAAACAATATACAATTCAAAAAAGTTCAAGACAATTTATCGTAGGGACTTGAGCAGGTACCTGCAGGCTGCACCAGTAGGCTTGAACGCACGTCGCCGTCGTATATCAACCGTTTCATCGTACAGCATTATACGATTATAGCTGACAAAATTTTACGTTTACAATTAGAAAAATGAGCGCCTTCATAATATAATGTCAGGTCAACAAAATCAAACAAAACCAACCAGAAAATGGCAAATTACAAAAAATCCCGCGAAAATAAGGAAAAATCCCTTTATGCTTCGAGAACGTCAAAAATCCCTCGAATCGGGATAAATCCCTCGAAGTGGCAACACTGCTGCTTCCGTAATTATGGAAGTTCAGCATACTTTTTTCCGCATTTTTATAACTTTACAAAACCTTATTTCGCATCTTTATTAAAATCAATATATCGGAACAATAAAACAATTAGTAAACATTTATTACTTTTATCAGTTGGCTAAACTAAAACGAAATTTAAATGGAATTGCTCGTCGCAAAGTTGCATGTATGGCAGGTACCTACGCCAGCTTATGTTTATGAAGTATTAGCGACAATATGTAGCGTTATAACCGGCAAAATATTGTTAATAACAATATATTGTCCCTGTGCAAATAACTTTAATTAGGTCCTAAACCATCCAACGCAGTTATAGCGATTATATTGTATAATGTTTGGTTAGTGTTATGTTTTAAGTTAAAAGTGCAATTTTTAAGCCAAAAAAGATCATTACACTTCCTCTTCCGCATCCACTTCCGTTTTCGGTTCCGCAAAAATTTACTTCTGTTTCCATTCTACTTCCACTTCCATGCCACTTCCGTTGCATCACTTCCGCCCCACGCTGTGTGCAAAGTCTCTTCAACCTCCCTACAGAGAGATCGTACAAATGGGTGAATTGTGATTGAAAAGAGAATCATGAGACGGACGAAATAGAGACAGAAGAGAAGTAAAAGATTAATTGTGGAGTTTTATTACTGCTTTAGAATTTGACTATATAATCCAAGAAAATCATAGAAAAATTTGGACTCGAAATCGAACCATCATGGTTTGTTCTCCACGCCTTATACACGTTGGTCAGTGATGACGTCACAAGCTTGATATGTAGGGAAAGAAGGGGGAATTCATTTTAATCCTTAATTCTCATAAAAATCCAATCTTTGAGAGCATTCGACTCTTGAGGTGGTCAAACTCAGGCGCTACATCGGAAATGCTACAAATTTTACTTTGAAAATCCATAATTTTTGTTTATTTATACAGAACCGGCTTGTAAAAGCCACGACGGTTTTATTTACACACTAAAATTGTAGTAGAGAAGTTCTAACAACGCCGTCGAGGATTAGAAGACATCCTATTTACAAAATTAACCTCTCCTAATAGGTAAAAACTGTTTGCAACTTTGGAACATGAAGCAGCACAGTTTCTACGACCACTAGATACTTTCGAATATTTATTACTTAGAAGTTGGTTCCTCTCTAATATTGCTCTCATAAATACAGTAGCCCAGTGACCAATAAAATGGGATATTCGAGTGAAATTGAAATCCACTAAAAGTTTCAGCGAACTTTGCGATTGTGTTTCTCCATTCTAGAGACTGGCGACGACGCTTCAACTCAAAGCTGAAGTGAATGCTCTAGGAAATCTTTAGAACTTTCGTTAATTACAACCTGTTATATGGTGTTGAAAATAATGAAGTCGAATGTGACAATGTTCATATATAAAAGGGAAATTGTGTAGCTATCTTCACCATTTGTCACAATTATAGGAACCTTAAAAAGCATAGGCATAAGCCCAGCATATATACAAGTTCAAGAAGAAGTTACTGACTAAGTAAATGAGATGAATGATTACAATCCATAATAAATTGATAAATTATCCACAAAATTTTGTACACTTTACATTAAATCATAACGGTTTTTATGATAAAAAACACCATGAATTCAGTGTACAAGATTTAATTGACTTATTTTAAAGTAACCTCAATAAAATGGCTTCAGGAATAAGAGTGGTATATATCTATTACTGTGCAATTATTTTAATGCGTTCATGTAGGTCAAAGTGGAAGATCCGTTAAACAGTGCATCTCAGAACATATTTCTTAATAAGGACACAATGCAACACGACTACTTTTATAGAACATTTTTCAACTAATAGTCAGTTTCTTTATTACTCACAAAATCCAAAATTCTACACTTTAGCGTTTCGAAAAGTGCTATGTAAATAACATTTTTAACTTAATGGTTAATAAAACCAATAAGATATAACGCCATCAAATCGTGTTTCCAACACGAAACACAAACTTTTCAAACTTTTAGATTTCCCTTGATTCTCTCAATATTCCAAATAAGGTCTTATTGTATATAGTTTTAGATATCTTTAATATTTCAATTGGATTTAACCCCACAAAAATATTTCGTTCCTATATTTGATATTTATATAATTAATTAATTTTTCAATACCTACATACTCGTTAAAAATAAATTGCAATATAATTGCACAGTTTTTACAAAAAAATAGANATTATAAAGATAAAAAAAGTTGTTTTTTATTGGACCTAACTTCATACTCACAATTATTTCCATAAAAGGTTATTTACATCCTGGTTCTACCATTTTGTTATAGATAATTTTATACTATTAAGGTAAAATAATATCTAGAAAGCCTATTTTGAGCGTACCAGGCGCATCCACCAATATTTAAATAAAATTAAATTGTATCTATATAGCTTCACATTATCAGTTGCTAACATTTGATAGTGAATTTCACAAAATATCTCCAGAGCTTCTATGATGTATTGGAATTGGAATTAAAAAAACTGTTGATTTGAGTAAGATAACGAGGTTTTAACCCATTCTGATGGTTCGTGGTTCATAAACTAGTCAATAGCAATCACGGAAACCCACAAAACTCTCGATTTAATTTCTACATTTCTACGTTTATGTATATTTATTTTAGGGGCCAACCTCAACGAATCTTGTTTTTTCAACGAACAATGTGAACTATTTAACCCAGTAACGGAATGCAGAGACGGGGTGTGTATTTGTCGGTTCGAAAAGGAGGGTATAATAAATCCCGACGGAACAACCGACTGTATTGGTAAGTAGGTATCTAAGAAACTAAATCTTAACTTCATTTAGCGAACTGTATAAAGATTTTGTAATACCGTGTGTGTAATAATGTTAATAAATTAAATTCAACATCTTTTGCAGCCATCAATACTCCTATGGCTCCAGAACAGTACGTTGCTCCTACAATGATTGCAATCCTCGTTGTTATGTGCTTGATGTTCATCATTCTGTGTGTCGTATTGAGATTATTTAGCAGGTAAGAATAATCGTCATAATTAATAATTATTTGAAATGTTTAAATGGTGCCCACATAGTAACAGTAGGACCCCTACTTGAGTTCATGAAATATTTTATTAAATCTAAGATACGCTAAGTGTTCTTTAAATCTAACGTTAACATCCCTACGGTTTTGGCCTATATACTATTGTTATCGCAGTTTTTATATTTCATTTGTAATTTTTCCTAACCCTTATAAATAAAATGGAAACGGTTTTGACAAAACAGTATTGTATGAAAATAAATAAAGTAAAACAAAAATACTGGTATGCAAGGGAAGAAAAGGTAAGGAAAGAGCGAATATAAAGATAGGAGACGAAAAATTAGAAGAAGTGGCTGATTTTCGGTATCTAGAAAGTAAGATAGATCAGGACGGAAAGAGCAGTAGGGATATAAAGCAGAGGATAGCGTAGGGTTGAGTCGCCTTCAATAATAAGAAGTCACTTCTATGTTCGCGAACGATTAATTTAGAAATTCGAAAAAGATTGTTATAGATGTATGTTTAGAGTACGGCGCTGTAAGAGTGCGAAACACGGATGGTAGGAGCAGCGGAAAAGAAAAGGTTAGAAGTGTTCGAAATGTAGTGTCGACGAATGATGAGGGCACCGTGGATAGAGAAGGTTAGAAATGATGAGATATTACAAAGAATAGGAGAACACAGGACTCTATGGAAGTCAATAAGAAATAAGCGAGATAGGTTAGTAGGACAACTTCTCAGGCATGAAGGTCTAGTCAGAGACATATTAGAGGAATAAACGGGAGTTAGGAGGGATAGAGATAAACCTAGATTAGATTACTGTTCGCAAATAGTTAAGGATATGGATTGTTCTAGTGTTGCGGAAATGCGAAGATTAGCTCAGGATAGGAAAGAGTGAAGGTACGTGTCCAATAATAGTGATGATTAGACTTCTAAGTACATAAGTTGTATATTTTACTTTTACTGTAAAATCATCTAACGATAAGAAAAATAGTTTCCAATTTATTCCTGCATCGTGCATCGACGAGTTTGTATTGGTGTTTACAACGATTCTAGTACCGTTCTCTCTCATTTTCATCGTTATCAAGTTATGTAGTTTTATTGAAAGCAATATTTCCTGCTTTCTGAGACCGAGCAGAATTTACCTACCGAAGATTGCTCGTTTATTTTTGATGCTGCAACTGATAGAAACAGAAGTTACTGCAAAATTGCAATGTAAATTGGTTTAGTACAGAACACTGCTTGCTTTCCAATTTTATTTCTTGTTCTTCTTTCATTGGTATCTAAGTCAAAATCTCTTACAGGAACTGAGCGTTAATTTTCAAACTTAAGCAGATACATTAGCAATTTTACAAACATTATCTAACAAATCTTTCTGGTATATTATACTTTTCTTCTGCAATTGTAATACATATATGATCTTAATGTCTCTTTTTCATCGTCAATTAAAGCTGATGAAATAACTTCCTGTGCTTATTCCCATAACACCAAAATTTTTAGGGTAAACTACAAGTACAAGTAAAGGAAATAGAGAAAAAGGCGAGATAAGTTGGTAAGACGCCTTCTCAGCCATAAAGGGCTAGTCAGAGGCATATTAGAGGCAGAAACAGGAGTTAAAAGGAGTAGAGATAGACCTAGATTAGATTACTGTTCGCAAATAGTTAAGGATATGGAATGTTTTAGTTTTAGGGAAATGCAAAGATTATTTCAGGATAGGAAAGTGTGGAAGTGGGCGTCCAACTAGTCTTAGGATTGACGACTTTATGTTGGTGGCGTAATTTGCGCTGTGTAATCTTAACAAAAGTGAAACAATGAAACTTTGTAATTTATTTTTCTCTATCGAGTTTCCCTTCTGTACTATTCCTTACTTTAATTAACAAAGCTTAATTAACTAGTGTAAGTGGGCAGGTATGTGTATATTCACTTAGAGCTTGTTAATTAGATCCTTGCAAGTGTAGTTTTATTGCCCTAAGTTAAATACGGGTTTTACAAGAATTGCAGAACACTTAAGGTAGTTCAACAACAAAATTACCACATGGAATCCACATAAATAAACGGATTTTCGAGTTTTGGACGTTTCAACCACAAACTTGTGGCTTACTTACTAAACTCTTGATTGCTTACGTAATATACATAAAAATATAAACATGTTCGTAAAAATACATATGCCTGTATGTTAAAGATTCTTTTACAAATTATATCAGGGATAAATCCCTTGACACTACGTCAACTTTTGTAACGCACGATTTCGTATACATTGAAACAACATCAGACTCTGTTAAAACTTATCAAATACGAGACAGGGAAGTATCTATCGTTCCCAAGGGGCCTTCCAAGAAAATTTGCTCTTGTCAGTGTTAAGTCACTGTGTCGAAACCTGTTCCTAATTTGGTAGTTAAGTCACACTTTCACTAATTTCATTTACGTATCAATGTTTTTAAAATAGATAATCAAATCGTGCAGTTTTAACAATACACTTTTGTGCTTTGTTGTAATTAATTTTATGTTTTTTTTTAAACAAACAAAATTCTTAGCTAAACAAATTCTTGTGTTCTAATTATTGGAGAATGCAATAAAAATCATTTAAGAAATCTGTACTTGTCTTATAACTCAAATAAAATTATTTTGAATAATTAAATTATAACCATCGAAAGAATATTAGTCGTTTTGTTTTCCAATTTTGCAAACTTTACTCGTTAATTTTCCGATTTCTGCCTTCCTGACCCGCTTGCCGTTGATTGATGACAGTAGCAAAAGGGAAAGAAAGGGAGACCTATTGCAAAGCTGACTTCGTCTTCCAGTACTACTCATTTATTTTGTTCTACCCGCAACCCTTAGCTGATTCATTGTTCTAAATAAAGACCTTTCATCAAGGATTACTCATCTATTAAACGTTTCTTCTTTTTATTTTTCTGAGGTGCAATATGACCGCTTCAACAATAAAGTATTAAATTATTATTACAAAAATAGCTCAATACGTACAATTTAAATGCCAATGAAAATCTGAAACGGAGACATATTTATGATGTTAAGTTATTGTTTCTTTGCGAATTTCAGAGAACGCTGGAGAGAAAATCGTACAATATTTAACACTCCGAATCCTAGATTAATGAACGTATCACTTTTACGAGATAGCAAACATGGAGACAGAAGAGGGTCCAAAGCAAGTGCAAAAGGACCCAGCAGACACGCCAGTATGGGTTCTCTAAGATTAAATTCACCAAGTTTACAAGGTAAATTAGCATACAGCAACGATATTTAATAAATAATAATCACAGGTTAAGCTACATAAACGGTTGAAAAACAAAATACGGAGAAAGGAAGAAAGAAGGATGCATTGATTATAATATAATCTCAATTTTCGACAGATTCAGAATCCATAATCTTTCTTTTTCGTAAAGATTACTATACTTGCATTCACCGAAAGACAAGAATTTTAAAAAGCCTGCAATTTTTTGCCTTGCACATCTACTCATAATACTTTCACAGCTTATTCAAAATTGGATCATTCATTCACTATAGAAAACTACTTCGAAAATGTCACCATCATATCCTTAAAATCGTTACAAAAATATTTCCATCGTTAGAGCAAATGCCGCTGTTCTCGAGTAGGAAATGTTGAAGGAAACTGAAACGATATTTCACATTCTTTATGTTTATAGGAATCATTACTCAGTTATTAAGTTTCCCATCGTTTTTCGTTTAGATGGACTAGAAAAGATTCAATTACTTTTCAATGAAAGCCAAGGTATTATATTTCGTTGTTATATATCGACACGTTTTATCTAAATTAACATTTAGAAATGAAATAAATCATTATGGAGTATAAGATTTCCCAAACGCGGCGAGAAAAGAATAAGGCTTTGTAATATTTTAAGTGTCTACTTATATGAAAAGAAGATACCAAAAAGCAAATTCTATATTTAGATTGTTTAAAACAATTAAGTACCTAATATCCAATTATTTAATTTTTATTAATTAAATGAACTATCAATTAGTGTTTTTGTTTAGAAAAAATTAAGTTGTTAAAATACTTTTGGAAATAGGATTAAAAATAAGTTGTGCAAGGCAACGAAAATAAGAGAAAATTTTGTTTTTCAAAATTATAATTTATTTCTTTAGTAACTCTAATAAAAGTATAATCTGAAGCGAATGTAAAAGTTATATAATATTAAATGTAGGATTGAGAAGGAATTCCAAAACAGGTAGCAACATGTCCTTGAAGTCGACCACAAAGAGTCCTGTGGATGTAACGGCAAATCCCATCACCACTCCAACCCTGGAAAAGGTAACCGTGGAAATTCGTAATGCAAAAGCTTAACCATGGAAATCGATTTTACAAATGTGAAAATATTCACAAGATCACTGCGAATGGACGAAAACAGCGCTACATACATATATTAAATATACTCAATTATTTTCCAATAGTTAGAGCTTGTACACTCTTAACTCTTAACTATAATAATTAACAATGAAAAAGGTGATGCATGGGACCATTTAGCATTGTCCGACCATCACAATATTATCGCATAATTATTCGATATCATGTTTATTCAATAGCTTTTACGATAGTTACTTATGTAAAAATTATTAAAACAGAAACATCCTTTTCTACAGTTGCTATGTTATATAATTAAGCACCTGAAACTAATTATATGAATTGCACAAAATTAAAATTGTTGCTGTACTTATTGACCTCTTAAAGGTATTTAGGGTTTAGCTTTTTCGATTTTTCTCTAACTTTAAGAAGAAGAACTAATAAAAATTATGGACTGGATCGAACAGAAAGTAATGGGAAAACTTTTTGGTCTTTACAGTCCTCTAAAATACAAAATAATAATAAATACAAACCCCTAACTTTCTCAACGGTTACGTATTTACTTACTTAAAACTTGTTTAAATTATACTCTTCGATGATAAGGTCTAGCAAGTATAGTTTTGATAAATTTCATTTCCTACTGCAAACTTTGTATGTGAAATGTAATTATTCTAATTGATAGGTAAAAAATGTTTAATCGATATCTTACAATAGGAAGTAAGTGAATGCTTCGTTATTATACAAAATTACTATCGTACCTCATCGACTTCATCACATGCTCTATCTTCGTAAGTTAGCTTAGCTCCTTTTTACTGCAAACTATTTTACCTTGTAATGCCAATACTTGTAATAAAAATAAAATGTAGACAATTTGTTTATTTTATCATAAAACAAATTCCCTTTAAAATAAGAAAATAATAACCAACAAGTATAAGAAAAGTTTTGGATTAATGAATTGCAAAAATGAAAAAAGTAAGTTGCAATATTCTTCATTAACTTTATAAATTTAAATTTATTACAGCAATAATCGATAATGTGAACATAGGAAGACGGAAGTTCCGCATAATCCGACATCCTGACACTAGACTATTATGCTAGACCATCGTATGTCGTCAAAAAATTAACCTTAACTTATAGAAACGAATACACATTGACCTTAAATACTGATATATCGGTGTTGTTCTCGATGTTTGATACATCCCCATCGTATTAGAGGGGATGTATTATTCTTGTATTCACTTTAGATGGGTACTTTTTTTGTTCTCAGTGGGTAGAAGAGAGTGACGTCAACCTTACTGACCTGATAGTGAACGGTAAGACTGATAGGGTAAAAAGTCATATTGCAAAAAAATAAAACACCAAAAGTAGATGTGTTATTCTTGTATTCACTTTAGATGAGTAGGTACCTTCTTGGTTCCCAGTGGCTAGAAGAGAGTGTCGTCAACATTACTGACCTGATAGTAAACTGTAAGACTGATAGTGTAAAAAGCCATATTGCAAAAAAATAAAACACCAAAAGGAGATGTATTATTCTTGTATTCACTTTAGATGGGTACCTTCTTGGTTCCTAGTGGACAGAAAAGAGTGTCGTCGACATTACTGACCTCATAGTGAACTGTAAGACTGATAGGGTAAAAAGCCATATTGCAAAAAAATAAAACACCAAAAGGAGATGTATTATTCTTGTGTTCACTTTAGATGGGTACCTGTTTGATTTCCAGTGGGTAGAAGAGAGTGTCGTCGACATTACTGACCTGATAGTAAATTGTAAGACTGATAGGGTAAAAAGCCATATTGCAAAAAAAAAAACACCAAAAGGAAATGTATTATTCTTGCATTCCCTTTAGATGGGTACCTTTTTGGTTCCCAGTGGGCAGAAGAGTGTGACGTCGACATTACTGATCTGACAGTAAACTGTATGATTGAAAGGGTAAAAAGCCATAATGCAAAAAATGAAAACACCAAAATTAAGCTTTATAATTTTATTAAATAAACACCAAATTACAGCATATACATGTACAAGATAATATAAATTGTCAACCTATTAGACTGCAAATAAGTAGACGATAATATATAAATAATTACGTTACTAACTCTATTTCTTTCTTTACATGTTTGTAAGTTATACATAATTTTATTGTACAGCTTCAATTAAATCCGCTAAGTTGAATAAACACATCATTCAGAAATCTAATTCCATTCTTTCGATTTTTTCCTACAATTTGTTATATACGTAAATCAATTGAACAATTTAAATTCGATTATAAAAAAGTTCACATATCAATAAACTAAGCTTACAAATGGATAATAATGAAATTACAAAAATGTCATTTTGTCTAAATTAATTCATTGCTAATTATACAAACTTGTAATACTGGGTTTTTACAATTTCAAACACAAATGTGGTGATTGTAATTTGTTTTTTAGAAAGCAGGTAACATAATGACAGATCTTTCTAAGAAGGCACCTAAAATGATTTTCCTGAGTTTCACACTTACCTTTATTACGGCAATTTCTAATCAGAAATGTTTCCTTCAACTGCCTAAGCAATGATACCTAATCAAATAAAAGGTACATAAAAATGATACATGCTTATATGGGCCAACTTAGAAAAATCTACTCCTTTCTCGGTAAGATTCATTAAAATAAGAAAAATAAAAATTATTTTCTTTACATTTGTTCTTTCTCATATAAAAGGATACAAATCCATTACATTGATGCGGGCTTCTAGAAATTGAATAATGTTCTGACAATAATTTATGACAGGTCTATCTTGAGCAGAGGCATCTTCCAAACGCTTTATATCTTGCTTTAATGATTCATATATTGACTTTAACGAATTCTAAAAATAATTGGTATATACTCGACACAAGAATTGATTATAACAATATATGAGCACTTACATCTTTGCGGAGAAAGCTTTTATTTTTATTTTGGAGAAATCCAATTTCCACATAATTTTTCTCAGCTAAAGAAATGTGACCTAACTGAGTTAGAAATAAAACCCATGTTGTTGTTTGTGAGATTCTTTGGGCTTCCTTTTCTTTTTCCTAAAATTTTAATTTTTTATTTCTATAGTTTATTNCCAAAATTAGGCGACATACAAATAATTTCCTATATCAACATAGGAAGCAAAGAGGGTAATGCGTAGATGGCACCTTCGCTTGGAGGGGGAATAAGATGTGCATTCGGAATGAAGATCTTGTGGAGCACTAAACAAGTGTTTGTAGGTAAGAGCGTAGTAGAAAATTTCCTTCCAAGACCTGTTTAGTGTTCTACAAGGTCATCCCACACTACCACCATCTTCGAGCGAGGGACCCATCATTTGCCAACTATCCGAAACGGATAAAAAACTCATTTATGTTATATTATACATTAACTGCACCATTAAAATAATAATAAATTGTCTGGCACCTTTCAATTTTTCACGTCCAAAGCAACGCCACTTCTCTTCAAACCCTGAACCTCCACTTCACATTCTTAAATAATATTTATAATGGAGCAAACCACCTTCTATACATTTATTCAAATGAAAATTGCAAACAAATAGGCAAGATAATAAAACATCAATCATAAATATTTACAAATAACTTTTGGAAGGGCCCCAATTACGTCTTATAAAGTCAAATGTTTATTTTACATTAACAACCAGCTATTTAAAAATCTGCAGAATTTATATCAAGATGAATCGTTAACAAATACTGAGAGATAATGATGATTATGTTTCTTTATGCTAACAAAATGGTCAATACACTTTCCCATACATGAATCACGAGTAAAAATAAACAGTACAAAACGTCGAACAATACAATACAAAGAATTTGCTGATTTGATTGAAGATAATTATATACATATTGTACAAAAAATAAAAAAATTAATGATATAACATCAAACGTCGTTTGGGAAACGATTCATCTTAATACTGCATTCTCGAATTTGTTTAGCAAACCCTTCTCGACTTAATAACGTAGATATGAATAGAATAGGGAGCAACCTGTATGTGTTATACCTCACGGCCAGTCTTTCACACTAACAATCAGTCTCTCGCACTAACCGTAAGTTATTTTTGTTTGATTTGATAATTCTTAGAAATAATTGTCATATATACAATGAGGAACTAAATATTGGGCGATAAGAACCGCGTTATTCAGGATGATTGTAGAATATGTGAGAACTGTATGCAGCCTCTGTTCCAAAGCGTTTTCTACAGAACGGGCATGGATATTTCGACCCAGTGCACTGGTGTTTTTTATGAAAATACAAATTAGACTTATTCGCGAATGGTTTTGAACAACTTGAACACCGGTAGCAACGTCCATCGTTGTCTTGTGACGAATTATTCGGTGTCGAATTTCCCATCGTCATGGCATTCCTAAAAAAACCACTACCCCCTTGCATGTAATACTGCTCATTATCATTACTATTACTCCTGCTCATGGTCTTGATCGTGATGTTGGGATTGCTCTGAACGAGACGTATTATGTCGGGATCAACGTTAGTTTTGTGGTTTGCATTAGGTATTGGGGTGATGCTGACGCTTCCTATGGAACTGGGGATGTTCATATTTTCTGCTTCACCCTCATGGATTTCAACAATGGGTTCTGTAGGTTCTTGCTTGATGCGAACGTTATTTACGTATTTTGTATACGTGGGTATGTTGTTCTGTTCAACCATATTGATCACTTTTTTAGCAACATTTTCTTGTCTGTTTCTACTTATCGTGATGCTGTGGTCACTTAATTTCTTAAGACCATAGTCGTTCTTGTGAATTCGCATGTGACTATTTCGCGAATATTTTGTGGGGAAGCAAGAGCTGCACAAACTGCATTCGTAACCCCTCTCGGTTGGTAGGGTGTTGTTCATAACGGCAGTTTTCGGTCGCAAGGCCTCGTCCACTTCGCTGCCATCCACATAAGGACCTGCTTCTTTTACACAATGACGTATGGGACGACCTGAAGGAGAATACGATTCTGTATCTGATTTGCTTCCTTCGGCACTAAACCTCGGAGATATATGTGAAGAGTTTCTGTTGTAATAACGGGCATTATTGGCCTCAGTAACTGTTGCCATGCCTGTACCGTTACAGCTGACGACATGAACATTGAATTCGTCAAGCTTGAAGAAGACCTGATAACACTTCCTGCAAAAGTATGCCTGGTTTTGGGGCTTGTATGGATCTACTGAAGAAGATTTTTCAGAATATGCAATGTTTGAATTCGTTTCTTTTTTCATTTTCTGAGAATCCTGCTCTATTTCCTTAAACATTGCTTTAATTTTGTGGGGAGTAATTTTAGGAATAGGTTTTGAAGGAATATAGGCCGGTTTGGCTTTCAATCTGCTTTGATTTATTACTTTAGGAGGTAAATGAGCCTTTCTAGAAGCAAATATCTTGTCGGTTCTTTTATCCCCATTTAGTATATGATTTTTAATATGATCATCAAACTCTGCTCTTTGCTTGTTGAACCGTAAACCACAAAAACGGCATGTGTAGTGGCAACCAGAAGAAAAGTAATGGGACTCGATTGCCCAATTGTCTTTGAATGTATATCGACAGAGAGAACAAAATTTTCTTTTTACTCCATTAACAGTGACAGATTTGAACATCGTTCTTCTTAAGTCTTTAGGAATTTCAGATAAAGGGGTACCATTGACCATAGCTATAGTGTCAATAAGTACAACTTCACCTTTCGTCGAACCGTCTGACGACTTCTCCACTGGTACAAGAAGGCCCTGATCTTCTTCATCTATAATTTCTTCGATAGGTTTCTCTACGTTTATGTCCCCATTACGTATCAATTCATCTCGAACATTTTCATCTTCATAATTGTGATCGTTTTCAAAGTCTACAACGTCGGGCTCTTCAGTCTCATCAGTTTTGTTAATGTTTTTCAACCACACGTTATGAACCCTTTTGTGAAAACCATTGGAAATAGTAAAGTTTGGAGAGTCAACTTTTTCTTTTTCAACAACATACAAATGTTGTAGTTCATGCTCAGCTACCATTTTCAGGTTTTTGAATACCATGTTGCAGTGTCGACATGTGCTTTCTTTGTCAAAATCTTCAAATACTTCCCATTCTTGTAATGATGACAAAGTGCATGTGGTATAATTTTGATACTCGTAATCTGGGATATTTGTTTTATTAAAATAATTTAAAATGCAGTTTAACAATGACAACGGATTGTAGATTACTGGATCTACTTCTTTTTCGATTTCGCGAAGAGGAGAGTAACCGTATTTTTTTCTTAAACGTTCCATACATGATTTAGGCCCTATTAATTTTCGCCTTTTAATTGCAGGTTCTGTAGAAACATGTTTATTGTGTACTACAGACATATCAGTAGCAGGAGAATCACACAATTCCATATCACTGTGAGATTCAGAGTTGGTACTGTTTGCTTTTGTGTGATAGAAACTGTCCTGAGAACTTTCATCTTCAAGATTACCATTAATTACATTTTCATTACAGTTTGTCAGATTAGTGGCCACTTTAATACTGCATACAGCTTGTTGCTGGCGCTTCTCTTCCATCTGTATTTGTGTAAGAGATTCTTTGATGGCATTTTGAAGTTCAGCACAAAGCTCAGACTCAGACTGTTGATTATCAGACTCATCAAAGTGTTGAGAGTCTGTAAGGCCATTTTTTCTGGTTGAACAAGTACTCTGCAGATAATTTTGTAAATTAGACTTATGAAAGTAGGTAAATAGGTTAGGATATATTTATTAAAAAACCACCAATAATGTTACTGTAGCATGTTAATATATAAATAGTTCAGTAAAATATACTGCAGGTGTCTTAAATTATATATTTACTTACATTGCTTATGGTGTTGAGAAAAAGTTTTTCGTTTTCATTAATGTCCACTTTAGATTCTAATTTCCCCTTTTGTTCATTAAAATAAGCAAGACATTTCTTCTTAAATTCACAAAAATTTTTCAAATTTGAACAACAAAGTTCACAAACTTGTTTTGAAAGAGGATCTGTTCTGTAGATCTACAAAAGCCACAACAAATTAACACGTCAATAATAAGTAATACATCAACAATTACCAAAATTGGAAGGAAATCTTTAATTAGTTGAACTAATTGTACACCCTCTTCAGTCTTTTCGAAAATATTGTGAGTGTCCGAGAAATTACAAGCTTTCCCACACAGTCTACAATCGTTTTCTCCATAACCATTAGATATACTCATGATTGGATCAAGTTGTAAATGGAGCACAAATTAGTAATAAAGCATGTAACGCACACACATATTAATAATTGTGTCATTCGAACGCAAACACGAAAATTTATAAGCCGATAACACAATTTATTCTAGCAGACCCATGTTTAGCATTATTTAAAAGCAGCCATATTTTAAAACATTTCAACTCTCCCATGAGAGAGGACGCCACCATGTTCTTGCCAAGTTTAATTTTGGTTAACTAGCAAGCAACCACAACTGGATATACCAAATAAGCCGGTAACTACCAAATATGTCTGCGATATTTCTTGTTTTGTCGCTAAAAATTTTACGAAAAATAACTAGTTTGCACTCAAAAAAAAGAAAAATATAGTTTTCAAAATTATATCTTTGAAAATAAGCGTTTCAATTATTTGCAGAAAAGAGCACCTTATTCAATAAATTTTTTATTGGCTGCCTAATTTAAATAAATAATGGAATCTTGCCGATTATTTATTTAAAAATGTCGATTTATTTAAATCTAAATAGATTTCCATTGATTAACTTCGAACGTTTTCGTCTGATTACATTTTTTGAGAAAAGTAACTTTTCAAAACATTATGTACTATAACAAAAGTTTTTTGAACATTCCACAATAATAATTATTTCCAAATTTTGTCATTTTCGCTTTGTTATTATTGTAATAGAATATACGTGAATCCTTTATCTCTTTATTTGTGAGGGTTTCCAACATACAGACCTGGTTTCTTGTTTCTTCCAAATATCTGCTTGAAGAAACTTCCTTCTACAAAAAACCTTACCATTTCTACCAAAAATCAATGTAGACACCCATCTAGTTATCTGTGAGGATCAGAAGAAGGCACATCTGCCGCTTGATGATCTCCTCCTTTTGGAACTCCCTCCCTTGTTGGTTCCCACTGTTTCCTACCCTACAGAAAAGCCGTTAGGGAGGAAGCAGGGGGAAACCTTACGGAGCTTCTGCTCAAGGCAAAGCACGTCGATCGCATTCTTCTGTACACTTGGATATACGAGCAGAAATGTCTGCTTCCTTTCAAAAACTTCAGCAATCGTTCGATATCAATGGAACAACTTCAGGAGCAGCTCATGCGTAAAATTGCTGAGATTGTTTGATGTATAAATTGTTCTTGTCCCCGCTGGACTTCCACCAAAATCAATTTTACGTTTCCTGTTCGAACTATGACTAACAGAAAAGCTTAACATTATCCACTATGGTTTATACAAAAGAGTTTTAATATATTAAACGTTTCCATTTTGAAATAATTCATTTAAGAATAAATCTTATTATTACTATCTATTAATTGGTATAAATAGTGAGCAAAATTTAGTCCTCTCTTTGCCATCATTAAAATTGTATAAAAAAAGATACCTATTTCCATTTAAACGAAAGGAGTATTATACGATTTGAAGAATACAACAAATTAATGAAGAATGTTGAAGCAACATTATTTCTCTAGAATTCAGTAAATTAGATGTTTTATGGTTTGCCTTTTAATTTTCTAATAACTAACAATTAAAGTGTAAACTAAAAAATTGACCCAATGTAGTATGTTATCTACAAAAGTAAACCAAAATCCGCTGCTTATGGTAAAAATATACTTCAGTTGGCTAATTACTCTGATTGTTTGTATTAATGATTGAGATTCGGATGAGTAACGATTTCCGTTTTAATTTAGTATGAAAATACAGTAAGTTATTGTTTTAAGTTCTTCTGAAAAGTACAGAAATTGATCTTATTCCCATACAGTTGCAGAGTAAAAATGGAAGGTGTCTGAGAAACAATAAGGATAACTTTTATCGAATTTGTATATTTATAGAAGATAACACAATATAGTTTTTATTAGCATTATTTTTATTTTACATATAAACAGGTCTCAACAATAATTGCATTCAAAATCCATCAGTTTCCAGTATCACCATATATCAATCTGAAAAGAGTATAATAAGATTAATTAAATCAAAAATAGGAAGGTGATGATGCACTCATGTTGTTTTTGGATGGAATGATGATGGAAATATTTATGAATTGTAGATTGTAACAACGAACACTTTCGGTTTCTAATAAGACAAAGCACATGTTTCATTCAAATTTAGATCACCATCGCAGCAAAATTGTCATAGAATTAAAAAATAATACAAAATATTTTACTTTAAGTGCATTTTACGCTGTGTACCTACTGCATATACTTCACAAATTTATTAGGTACCTAGTATTTAATTTTTCATTTAGAACGAAAAATTTTCTCCTAAAACATTTCTGGAAACGCTCCGTTGTCCAGTATTTTCATATTTTGTTCATGTTGTTCCATCTTTTGATATAAAAAGCACACTGACGCTAAAAAGATCGTCTAATAACTACACCATTGAGAGTAACACATTAACAACCAATTAATCGGTTAATTAATGAATAAATATACATATACAATTAGTCTGGTTTGAGCATTGTCAGGAATTGATACTAGTTGAACACTCAAAAAATCGTTTGGCCTAACATTTTTATCGTATTTTGGATAGCATCACTATTTTCCTAAGAGAAAATTTAATACTTTTCATAATAATGTAATTAATATTTGTTGTGGAACATTAGGAAAAAAGGCAAAAATGAAAACAACTACTAGAAAAAGTGGCATCATCAGAAAAGCCTCCAGGAGTCATTTTTCGTTCCAAATTAGGTGTACACTTGATCCCTGAAGTGAAGACATGCAGTTAATTAACACTCAGTATATACAACATACCAAAAGGTGTAAAAAGCGTGGAATGAATTTTGTAACACAAACTATTGACTACTTAACGCATCTGTATGCAGATAGGATTGCATTCAAAGATATACATATTTATTAGCAGTAAAAAACGAACTGTTTCAGGGCGATACGCTTTTAGAATCGTGAATGCCTATTTGTTCAAAGAACCGTTTGCTGATAAATTTATTTTAAACTATAAGAAGGTATTCTGTAAATGGTACTAATGGGCCCGTCCACGTTTTTCACGCAATTTTGGTTTAAATCTTATTCTTTCTTTTAGTTATCATTTTACTCATAATAAAAAAATAACACTATGCCTTGTATTTTTCAATTTTTTTTTGCAAAAATTGTGTTTGATTAGTAAATAACACTGTAGGAAGAAACAATGTTAAACTCTTCCTTAATATTAGTAACGACACTTAGACTATTAACCTTCATTCAATAAACGAATTTGCTACTCGAACTTAGCGCATTAATTGATAATAAATGTGTACATAATTGTTTAAACAAATTCTAGCATTATTTTGCTTCCGTCTTTCAATCATTCAGTAACTCCTATTTTTAGATAGTTTACGGTCAGAGAATCAAGCGAATACATTAATTTTCGTTTACTGTTGGTTCTATTTTGCAATAAAACTCTAAATAAACACTCCATTAAATCATCTATCACATCAAATAAAATTTACAAAATAATGATGACAGCGAGTTTAACATCATTTTTCATTATAGGTACTCATCATAAATGTACATAAAACTAATCAGTCAAAAGCAATTGAACTTTATATGTACAAAAATAATTGTTTTTGTAAGTGCAACTAATAATATAAATATAAGAGTATAGTGAATTAAATACTACTACGAAACTTTAGCTTACAATTACAAACGCAATAAGACCAAAAAGAGGCGACATACAAATAATTTCCTATATCAACATAGGAAGCAAAGAGGGTAATGCGTAGATGGCACCTTCGCTTGGAGGGGGAATAAGATGTGCATTCGGAATGAAGATCTTGTGGAGCACTAAACAAGTGTTTGTAGGTAAGAGCGTAGTAGAAAATTTCCTTCCAAGACCTGTTTAGTGTTCTACAAGGTCATCCCACACTACCACCATCTTCGAGCGAGGGACCCATCATTTGCCAACTATCCGAAACGGATAAAAAACTCATTTATGTTATATTATACATTAACTGCACCATTAAAATAATAATAAATTGTCTGGCACCTTTCAATTTTTCACGTCCAAAGCAACGCCACTTCTCTTCAAACCCTGAACCTCCACTTCACATTCTTAAATAATATTTATAATGGAGCAAACCACCTTCTATACATTNGAATTCAACACTATTCGATCATCGTCATTAAAAAAGCAATTAATTACTTACCGTGGTAATAAAAAAGTACCTATTTAATTATATGATTTATTTAAATCTACGAAAAAACGAAATTGTAGTTGAAAATTTTGTTTCACATTGAGAACAAAAGGTATAAATTAAGGTAAACCTAGTTTTTCTATTAGGAAATGTTGTTGGGTCAATTTTTTAAATATTGTATGTCATTAAAAAATAATAAAACTGCCGTTCAAGGCGTACCTTGGAACTACATCCTCTTCATAGGGATCAGAATCAATTTTCCCTTCAAAGGTTCCACTGATTATTTCTCTTCTATTTCTTAGAATAGGATCTAACGAATTAACGTCGATATAGAAAGTTGGAGACTTCTGCCCATTGTGGATTTTGTAAAATGATCTTGGAACATATTCTCCCACGTCTGTAGAATCAATATCTAGATTAGCTGATTTATTCGAAAAATAATTATAATATGACTTTTGGTGGCTGATTTTAATAAATGCAGAAAATCTGTATTTTAAGAAAATATTACATTAGTTTTATTAATTTAAACAGTTCTTTAATGTAATTTTGAAATGTGTTACATTCTTTAGCGAAGAAAAGGCCTATTTTTCCTTTGCTGAATTGCAGAACAACTTGATTAGGATTAAATATTTATTTACGAGTTAATAATAAGTAATTTTGCAAAACTTTTACCCTTTCCAAAAAAAGTTCATTAGATAGTAAGGTTTTTGCATATTTTTCCACTATTTCTTTAATAATTCCTTACTAATGTTCGTAGTTTAAATAAAAAAAAAATCTTTTTTTATGCGATAAACTAGTGAAAACAGTAATTACGTTCAAATTGAAATTTTCATAATAATGGTAAGTAAATAAATAAAGAATATCAAATAAGTACCTACTAATTGTATGATGTTAGATCATATCTATTCTTAAAATTTTCTCGGTAACTGGAAAAACCAATGCAATTACATTGATTTAAATCTCATTGTTTACATAACAAAATAAAATTAACAAAAAGTTAAGTGGCTGGTAGGTACTTATATAAGTCTTTAAATTTTTAAATATAATTAAAAATGTAAGTAATAATTTTCTAAATACTTACAAAAACTGAAAGCACAGTTAATTGCACAAAGCAATATTACACATTTCAGCATCATTTTCAAATAATTATTGTGCGGAGACAAAACGCGGTAAAAGTGATAGCTACTAAGCGAGTGCTTAACTGCTGCGAAATGATCTATGAAGATGTTAAGTAAATAACAAAATAACAGACACGAACTTTTATTAGTCTTTCTAGAATACATAGGTGGGCAAAAACACCTGATACTTAGCAATGATAGCGGATCTTGGAAAGTATCGGATAGTTGCAGGTATTCTTGTTTAAATATTTTTTTATCCGTTACATGCATTCACGAACAAGTGACATAATACGGTACTAGAAGAAATCATTTAAATTCGAATGATGTACGAAACGTTAGTCACTTAGTGGTGCTAACTAGCTTGGTAAATATGGTAAAAATTATAGGAGATCGTCGTGAAACGGTAATTCTAGACGACAAGAAAAAGACGTTAAATTTTGCTACTAAATATTATAAAATTAAGTGATTTTAAATCAATCAATACAGATACTAAGGGTATTATGGTAACATTACTATTAGAGACAAAAGTTATTTAAAAAGTTTAGGGCATTTTGAGAATCCTTTCACAATTATGTAAAAGAAACCTATATAGACCAGATATGCAATTCTTTGAGAAAATTGTGAATACACAAATTTTTACCTACTTTTAGATGTGTTTCCAAAAAAAATTATGTAACATAAAACCAAGACTAATAATATTTAGTTTAGTAAGGAATATCCATATACAAAATTATTAAATATACAAATTATAATAACTTTCATTATCACAATTTTCATGTTACATAAGATTTAAATGGTTATATCTACGACAACAGGGATATAAATTTAACACTCTGTATGTTAAAAATCCGACGTCAGTACGTGCTGCCCTCTTCAACTTTAAGTGGGAAACATTAGAAAGATTTATTGTGTTTGCTAAATGAAGAAATGGCTTAAAGACTAACAGTTTTCATTTAATTTAACCTTAACCAAAGATTTTAAATGAATTTGGAGCAATAACATTAAGTTAGTCTATTGATTGTGTGAACCTGTTATTTAATTTTATTTAAAATTGAAGTTGAATTACGTGATATTAAGTCGTTAAGGGATGCTCAACACTGTATTAAGAATTCTTAAATCAAGATGAAAATCCAGGTTCGATTAGCTACGCAACGTGTGGACCCCTCTGTAGCTATAAATTACCGATCACCCAAAATATTTACGCCAGGCGAAGTGATAACAGTCCAGGATGAATTTATGAGGTATTTTGTATTGTGGTATTGAAGTTGTTATTACTTAAAGATGTTTTTTAAGGGGGCATGGTACTTATGAAGAAGATGGTTACTTAAAGTCTTCTGTAGCAGGTGTTAAACAGCAAGTAAATAAACTGATATCCGTTCGTCCTCTGAAAAGTCGATATAATGGTGAAATTGGCGATGTAGTTGTAGGTCGTATTACAGAAGTTCAACAAAAAAGATGGAAAGTTGATACAAACTCACGATTAGATTCTGTTCTTCTGCTTTCTTCTGTTAATTTACCAGGAGGAGAACTGGTTGGTAAAGTAAAGTATTAATAAGAACTAAGATAAGAATTTTCTGTTTTACTGTGTAGAGAAGAAGGTGTGCAGAAGATGAACATATGATGAGAGAATATCTTCAAGAAGGTGATCTTATAAGTGCAGAAGTTCAAAATGTGCATTCTGATGGTTCCCTTTCTTTACATACAAGAAGCTTAAAATATGGAAAGGTTTTTATAGACTATTAAGTTATTTCTTAGATAGACTAGTAACTTTATCTTTGCAGCTATCACAAGGTGTTTTAGTGAAAGTATTTCCATCTCTAATAAAAAGAAGCAAAACTCATTTTCATAATCTACCTGTAGGTATTAGTATTATCTTAGGTAATAATGGCTTCATTTGGATATGTCCCCCAATAAATAATGAGGAAGATAATGTTGGTGGTTTTGTACAAAATTTGGAAGAGGTGTGTAATAATAGATAAAGCTACAATTGAAAAATGAAAAGCAGACAAATTCATTGCCAAAAATGTTTAATAAAATGGTCTTTGTAGGTTATTCCTCGTACAGAAAGGGAAACAATAGGAAGATTAAGAAATTGTATTTTAGCTTTGGCTCAAAGCAAAATGCTGCTGTATGATACAAGCATTTTATATGCATTTGAGGAGTCTTTGAAATACTCGGTTTCTGAACTTCTTATTCCTGAGTCAATGGTTGATGTTGCCATGTCCACACAACATAGAATAAATATGTTAGAGAATGATTAAGAACATGCTTTTTTGTATTTCTTCTGTTGCAGTTAATAAAAACACTGCTTTATATAAAATACTTTTTATTATTACTTTTGTTTACTACAGAGAGCACAATGGGTACAAAAAAGTATAAATATCTAGCTAGCTATTAATAGTTTTTGGTATGTACAGAAATAAATAAGAATAATTTAAAACTCGTCAGTAATTATATGATAAGATTTTTTCTCATCATTACAGGTTGCTCCTAACATAGCTTTTCTCGTAGCATTTTTACTAATTTTAAATAAGATTCGCATTTGTTATTAATTAGTATCTATTAGGGAATTGGTATGTTAATTATTCACTTATTTTTTTCTTGACGCAATATTAGGATCAACCCTAAAGACTAAAAATGACAAAAACATTATTCAGTCTTGTAATGATGAAAAATGATCCAGAAAGATAGATCTCGAAGCAATTCCCACCACCAGAGGCTGCCACCATCCCGAAAAAAATAAATCAGTACGTAAAAGTCGAAAGCACATTTGATTGATGTATTTAACTTTCCCCTGGGGTAAACAGCTTCGCGTAAACACGGCAGTTTTCCTCAGAAAAACCAGACAATCAAAAGTGCATTTAAAGGATTCCGTTAATTAATTAATTAATTATCGTTCTTAATATAGAACAAGTTTACTTCTAATCACATTGAAGTCTTTTCATAATTTCAAGCGACGTGTTTCCCTGTGTTCAGCCATTTCTTGGTATAATAGCAGAATATAGTGCTGAAGTAAAGCAAAACCATTAAGGCACATGTTACACCTAACGCTAGAACCGATGTTTTTGTTGGACAAGGTTCAATGATGGTCACAGTTTTATCTGTAATTACAAAATATATCAATCATTTATTATTTATAGTGCAGAAAGTGTATTAGTCAGTCGGCTTTCTTTTTTATGGTCCCGTGTACAATTACAAAAAATTAACAAACAGGAATTCATAGAAATAACCTGATTAAAGCACATTTAACTTTTAATTAGGTAGTAATTTGCTGATTAGGGTGTAAGAGATAGAAAATTGATTTGAAGTCATATCTCATATCAAATGTTTCCAAATCGATCAAAATAATGCTTTCTTTGGTTTATAATTGATAATAATCAATTTAATGTATACAATTGGACGCCAACGTTGTATAGTTGATATTTTTTGGATGTTATCAATGCAGCCGTTAATTTTCTTCATTCCTTCATGCATCTCTTTAAGCTCTCAGTTTAAGTACCTTAAATGCCTTCAATCTTTGGGTCTTTGAAACCATTGTTTACATTCAATTAATTATCAAAGACGGCATTGTTTTGATCAATTTGGTATCATATCTGAAGTGGGATATCATTAAAAGCCAGTGAGTTAATTGACTATTTAATTATATGTACCAACCTCTTCAATTTACTCATTATAAGTATATATATGTGTAGAAGGGTTTTAAAGAATTGAAGAAAAATTAATTTGAGTTTTGAATAAGAAACCGTTTTGGAAAACTGAGAACATCATGGTACTAATAATTACCTCCAAATTCGGCACTTGCTAGATCACTCTTGAGGAAATCGGCTTGTTTCTCATCACCAAAGTCCAACACTAGAATTTCCTGACTTAAAGTCATATCTTCGTCTTTTTCATCTTCAGTTCCATTGGATATGGATCTTTTCTTTCTTCCCCATGATTCTACCGAGTCTCTGCCCCATTCACAAACCGCCTAAACATAAATAAACATACATTTCATATATAAATAAATTTCAATTTCTTTTTTTCTAAATGTTCCGTTAACTAACTTCAATATTTTAATTCCCAAATACTTTTGTACTTACTGGTTCACAAGGTCCAAGACAATACTTGACATTGCACTGGAATATGACACCGTAAGATTCAGTGAATCTGAAGGCTTCGTAGATTGACTGCAATGCATTTCCATCGGGAGAAAATCCTGGGAAGATGGTAGGATCAAGTGGGCATCCTTCGTCATCGATAATTTGGAATGTACTCTTTGAGTCTTTAGCCATAGCAACACAGCTTCGTGCAAAGATGCCATATGGTGCTAATTAAAAAAATAATTTGTAAATAGAAACAATTTTTTGTTGTTGAAAAACTGAATGCTTACTATCATCGGGAATCTCAATTCGGAAAGTGAGTTTATCTCCAATACGTACAGTTTCAACTTCCCTGTTGCGACTATCGAGAATGCGGATTCTTGGTGGGGGTGCCTCAGGAGCAGAAGTGATACTTATCATTTCTGGATCTCTGGAAATTAAAATTATTGTAATTACCAAATCAAAGAATCCTAGGCAATCCGTAAGAAATATCTTTGGGAGTTAGAAATAGTTCCAGTTACCTGATTGGCATCATTCCAAACGTGATGTTTTTGGAAGACATGTCATATGTACATTTAATCTTGTAAATTTTGTCTGCTTTAGTCATGACGACACTATGGTGTTGGAGGACAACTGTATTACTGTAAACTCCAGTCTAAATGAAATAAAAACTTATTATTGCATATATAGGTATCACTTATGTAAAATAAACTAGTTTTTGTTTCTACTTACAACTGATTGCGTATTACAGTCTTGTCCACTCATTGTAAGGTCCAGTCGGAACAGGTCACTATTGATCACGTCCACGTTGCAAGTTTCAGACCTTCCCAGTGCGTAAATTCTACCATTGAAGGGCTTGTTTGTACGAACTTGGACAGCAATTCTGGTGTCCTTGCAATTGACTGAAACTAATACAAACAAAATTCACAAAAATGATTAAAATAATTAAATGTCTTATTTACCATCGTAGCATGTTCCAGTTTTATCACAGTTTAAGTCACTTCTTGTTAAGTTTAGTAAAGGATCTTCAGTAGCTTCAAATACAACTGGCAAGCTATTTTCGGACGGAGAACTTCCTGCACTAGGCTCTGAAAACAGAAATAAATTTATTGACTACACAAGGAAAATTGCGTTAATTGGTGATCATTTCCGAATTATGATAAACTTAACATTGTTTTTCTGATTGAGCATATTAACTTGATAAAAAAGTATTAAGGATTACTCAAGAATTCTAAAAAGTATACCAAAAATATAAAAACCAATTCCACTTCTACTTCTGAGTACACCATTATGAGATTGGTACTTTCCATTTGGACGCTCAAAGAATTTATATTTATTATCGTATAAACTCAAAGTCAAACATTAAGTTTTATTAACAGTTGAACAGTGACAAGCGTCGGTTATTCTGATTAAAATACCGAACTATATATACTAATAACGGATTACTCAGTCGTTTCTTTACTGCTTTAGATTCAGTTTTCACCAAAATTTAATTTATAAAAAAAGAGGTAAAAATAGAAGTGATTAAGATATGTGGACAGCAAATTCATTTTTGAGTAAAAAGTTTACTTACTTTCACAAATGTTTTCGTAATAAGTTCCAATTCTTTCTCCATTATCAATTAGCGGTCTTTCGGCATTAAGGAAGGTGCTCGGTCCATCAGGAAGTGTCTTGTGGTCCAAGTGGAAGAGTTGACAATTGTATTGTGCACCAATTGGTGGACCCCGATATAAAAATGATCGGCAAAGGAATTCATTTTCTATTTCACAGGCTAATTTACATGCTGCCTCGCTGTTCACTTGAAGTTCTTTGTCGGTGTAATAGTGAAGACCTAACAAGCAGAAGTTTATCATAATTTATATAACATTACCGTTTACATAAATTGGGAATTAGTACCAGACATATAGTGTTTCATATAAGGCTAATATATGCACTAGTATCTACACATATTATAATAATAACTGTCAAATTCTTGAGCAGATGATAAGGGTAGGATAATTACTTCGAACATCGAGCTTACTTTGTTATATCGCATCATCTGCATGATGAACATAATTATATCTTTGTAAGTAAACTAACGATGCCTACTGCGCGATTATATTAGGTATGATGCCCATACAGAAGGATGAAAAGACTAGAATTAAATAGATTCAATAGCTCGTGAAGATCTTGAAACAAGATTAAAATGGAACAGACATTAAAAGTAGTCTTGATCGATACCATCTGATTTATAAGATAATCATATGGCGTATAATAATCTGCGATCAATTAAATATATTATCTACAATTATTTTTGCAATTTTACTTAAAATTGATACCTACCTACTTTAGCTGCAATAATTTGAATGCAATTTTTGAAATTACTTATCCGTTTTTACGAATGTACTTATGTATTAAAATTTTAGAAATAAAGTTTAGGTCATTTTGCGTTGGGCAGAAAATATTAAAATGGTGATTTATATAATTATAAAGTTATCAGTTAATTATGTAGATTTATCTACAGTCAGCTTCAATATTTGCACTTTTAGTATTGTCTGTACCTATAATAAAATAGTAGTAAACGTTTTGAAATGTGTATCATACATCTTTGAATTATATGGCTAAAATCTTCAATTTTCGTGGTAATTAAGTATGTTAATTAAGTAATTATAAATAAAAGCAGTCACAATTCTCTTCACAAAGGATTGATAATGAGAAGAGAACAGTTCTTTCGCTTGTTTCGCAATTATCTATTGAGGAATAGTCTGCTCGAAATTATCCAGTTAATTCTTTGATCAACTTCCGTGAAATAAACTTCTAAATTTACTTTGATCTGTTATTGCACAAAGCTTAGTTGCATAAGTCAGTAAAAAGTTCTTTAGGTCTTAATTAAACTTCAATGTCCGTTAGGATTAAAAAAAAACATTTAAAACGTATGGATTATAAGAAGCTCAGAAGAATTTTTTTGTAATCAAAAAGGTTCGGATAAATTCTTGGCATTTTCAATGAGAATAAAATGGTTTATTTTTCAATGGTGTCAAGTGTTAGGGTTTCGTTAACATAAAAGTAGATTGAAAGCTCCATTTCTTCATTGCGTAAGATTGTTTTAGCAGTGAATATTTTTTAGGAATGAATTTGGTGGCTAAACGATATTCTAAACCATCAGGACATTAATGAAAGCTCCAGAATTGGTTTCTAAGGATTTAACTTTTTCTGCACGTTTAATTTATTTATTTAGGTAAAGATAAGCATTAGTTTAAGTTGTAATGTTCCCAATCGTTTAGTTTTTTGTAGAAGAAAAGCCATAACTGATTGCCATTGCCAGTCACGAATAAAGGTCAAGAAGAGTTCGGAGAAGTTTACTATGCACCGCTTAGTCATAGTTAATAACATAATAAATTATCGCAAATGACTTAACAATAACAGTACGGTAAAAAGTATTACCTAATTTGAAAAGTAATGGGAAAATTTTCGCGCGCCGTTAACAGCGTGTTAACCAGAGGCGTTATTTTAAGTGGTTTCGTGAATAGCGCCATTTGTTTACGATCTAATGTTCTAAAAGTAATTCAGTAACTGCTTAAAATACATCGATAAATCATATCTAAAATCAGATCTGCTTAATATGGAATTAAGCAGAAGCTGAAGGGGTTGTTCTTTTATGTACCTAATTAACTTCTCGAACTGTCTAAGAAACGTATACAGTTATATATTATATTTAATATTCTCCAAAACATTTAACAGTTAAAAGAGCTGGGATCTAAACGACCAAGGTACCTACTAATCGAATTATGTTCTTTAATATTGATAGAGTTTATAGCGTGGCAAGTTTTAATAATTAATCAATAAATTACGTTTACACAATAAATATAAAACTTGCCAAGTTCAATGTCAAAACCAATAATTGGATTATATCTTGTTTGGAACTTGGCACCTAATCAAATTTCAACTCTTATCGACAACCCCAAACGTCGTTTGTACAGAAGTTGGCATTTAATTTGCGACAAATTCGACATTTTATGATCAAATATAATGAAAAGAGAAGTTTTTGGTAGCAATAGTCTTTAGATCGTTGATATAGTTAGCCATCACGAACCTGAATGCCGATAATTTCGAATTAAAATGCAGGTAGATGTAAAAAACTTTATTTTTACTTCGTAACTCGAAACGTAATTCGACCTGACTGTTAAGTATGGTAAGCAGAAGGTCCCATAATGGGATAATAAGTGGGTTGTTTGAAGAGAGGTGTGCATAAAAGTGCAATAAGTATTCTACCTGCATACTGTGCAACTTTGTCGTCGGCGACACCGATTCTTGGCGTTTGGTATACACGGCCTCCTTTGCATGCCTGGCTGCCTTTGAGGCAGAGATTTTCGAAGTAATCCACTCCTTGAGCGTCCACAAATTGAACGAATTGCCCTGTCGTTCTCCTGTCTGAATCGCTCATTTGACATTGCAACGACACGTAATTGTATTCTACAGATCTACAAGTGAACCGATGCTGAAAGAAAAAGAGAAAAAATTAGCGAGGGATTACCCGGAGGCCAGAGGTATAGGTAGTTTAGAATGATATGAATCTTCAGATGCACTAGAACATTTACAAAACACTGGTTTGGCTGTTATTCAATTGGTTTTAACCATGAGTTTCAATATACCTACAACTAGAAATGGAGCTCCAGTTAAACTGTAAAAAATGACGTAGTTATGATCAATATTTTTAAAGTATAAATCTAGAAACTTCTAGACGGAGGCGTTTTGTCACTACGCAATCCAAGATCAAAGGTCATGCCATTCTAAATTAACTCTACACGAAAATAATAAAAATATGGGAGCAGTGATGCAAGTGTTTGATCGTTCTTCCCTTTTTGAATATTTTGGAGGGAAATAGGGAATATGAACGATAACAAGGAATGTGAATAGGCATGTATAAAATAGGATAAATTAAAACACTTAATAGTAGCTAAGTACAGGAGAAAACATTGAAATCTGTTGCCTTATTCGCAAATTATCTTTCAAGTTATCATTTTTTTTTATTGGGTACTAATTATTTTAAAAAATTAACCTATGGATAAAATTATCCTGTCACAAACTTTGGGGAAAAGCAATCAAATTGTTTTAACCATTAAATACTTGTTAAATTAGAAGTAGATAATGTTTTCATAATTTAATTGACTTTTTCCTAAGTTAGTTTTGTTTCCAGAATATCTGTACAGTTTATTTATATAAATCCAAATCATTAATAATTATATAAATGACATTTTATAAGAAGGTATTATAAACTGAACTTAAATGCTGTTTATGAAAATTTGATTGTAATTTTTAATTTTTCTGCTTAATTTCGAAAATGTGACAATAACCCAATTAAACCAATCAATTAAAAAATATGCATACTATTAATTTTAACAATTGAGAGATTTTATGTATGTAAAATGCTGTCCCACGACTGCAGTCCATTTTATTTATCAATTATCGCCAGACCAATAATGTAGGAAAGATAATGTAATTAAAATAACCATCAACTTATTTAAATATAAATACATAATATACGGTACGAAAAATATACGACGAAAATACAATATCTTGTATTATATAAGTACGTAAATAAATAAAGTTGTGCAAATAAACCAAGCCGTGGAAATGAATCCAATAATAATGCAGAATGAGCTACGATCTAGTGTGTCTTTTGCAGTTCCGATTCTCAATCGTGCCATTCGTGCCATTCGTACCATTCGCGAGTTTTCGTAGCGTGTGACGCGAGGTTTATTCGCAGTTGTGCAATTAATGTAACGGGAAATAAGGTTTTACAAAGAGATATTATACGTTCGGGGTGTGTTTTGAGCCTTTTTTGATGTGGACAATGCTTCTGAGATGATTTCCATTCGAGATTTGCAAGCAACGATGCGAAAAGGTAAATATTTTAATTTACTACCTAGACATCCCTTTCTCTCCGAGACTTGAACTGGTCCAGTCAAGAAGTTTATATTTATATTATATATAGGGTGTTAAGAAACCATTAACAAAGTTTTGGGATTAAATACGCATTCAACCAGTTATTAAGCTTCAAAATGTAATTAAAATGTCCAATCAGCGCCTGATTATTGCTGCACTCGAGTACTAATTGGTCATTTTCATTATACTTTGAAGCTTAACAACTCGATTAGAATGTACTTAATCGGAAAATTTTGTTGATGACATTCTTTTCAGAATTTGCTGAATTTATTTTTAAAATTTACCGACAATATAAAGGGAATGCGATGGTTTTTTAACTAGCAGTGTATTATTTATAGTATGGTTTTACCTATAGCAGCTGCAGTAATTGCGATGATGGTAAGCTTTGTTTGTTGTGTAAAATGCACAATTTTCATTTCATTTAATAATAGCAAACATTTACAACTTCAAAAAGTAATTTAACCTGTTCACGAAGAAAAGAAAAATGAAAATTTACGTATATATTAAAGCGATGATTACAATTTATGCCACTAGTTCGTTCCTTCGTAAGCGAAAATAATAAAAATTACAATTTGGACCCGAATTTGTAAAAATAAAATCCCAGCAGTTGATATTACAAAGTAGATACATTGTAATAATTAAGAAATTTGAAATAATTTTTAAATAAACACGTCTAAATTGAGATTATTACAAGTCACCTAATAAATTCTACTAGTATTACGGCAAATTCAGTTAGTTACAATCGAAAATTGTAATTTTTGCGTTGTCTCAAAAATTTAATTTTCTCCGTGTTGGTTTTTCGCAAATTATTGCGTACATTATGGTCTTACCTCGTTTAAGCAAGCCGCTAAGCAAGCTTCTTTAGTTGACGTATAGATGAGGGCATTATCGAGACCTCTTATCATTTTATTTGCGACTCTTTCGAATGCCCATGGACGAAGGCAAACATTTTCCGATCTTATTTGCATTTTCGTCATGTAGTACATGTTTGTGGCTCGTTGGGGAGTGGCTGCGGGATTATTTGCCGATGTTTCATTTTGTAATTGACATACGGTTTCCTGGATTGGGGTTAGAGGATTTAAGACGAAGCTAAAAGCTGCTGCTTGGCATTCGGGTTCCTCCCTGCACCAACCCTGGCACTCAAACAGGGATAGATTCTTGATTGTATAATAGGTGTTTCCGCGGTAATCGAAATCTGTTAGTTTTTCGAAAGCTATCCTTCCTGAAATAAAACCACTAATTAATAATTGTAATAAATAAATGGTAATTATTTTGAAAGCATAAAAATATAATAAATTACAACATAACCAACAAAAATGCTAGTTGAAAAAGTGTTCTTAGAGAAAAATGGGCTAATTGGAAATGAGAATCAATGCTCATACTTATTAGGGGTCCGTAGTAGCTAACTACAAACCATCACCGTTTGTCTTTTGACAAGTCACAGCCCTCAGACCCTCATATTTACATACTTATCTATTTTAATGAAATTTATCCTCTATTGAGTACCTAAAAGCGGAAACGGTGACATTTTTGGGCCCTCCCACACAAAAAGGGAAAACTAGCTAAAAATTGCTTCTTCATTTACCCCTTTGAGCGGGAATATGTCTCTAAAATGCAAGAAAAACCCTTTAGGGTTTCCTGATTTTAAAGTGTTCCCCTCCAACTTCTATCCTATACAAAATAAAAAAAATCCTGAATGTCCCTTTAATCAATAATTTTTAGGGTTCTAGCAAGCCTGTTCGTTTGCCAGACGCTTGTGGTTTCTAAACAAAATGAGATATCGACATTTGGGAAAATTTTTATAGATAAATTTTGTGTACACCTTTAGTTAAAAATTTTTGGGTATCTACAATGTATTATTTTTTAAGTAACTAGATCAAGTTAGTAATCGTCTATGGTATGCACGTCCGACAAATGATCTAGATTATTGACCATTTCAAAACTTTAGAACCATTTGTAATTAGGCTAAATAAATGCAGTAATTATTATTGCAATTGTTTAGGTAATAATTGACACTTTAAAACAAATTATATAACTTAATATATATTTACCGAAATGTGTTAGGTTGACTGCAGTGTATATTATCAGTATTTATATATACTCATTATTAAATGGCGCTTTGCGGTGCATATAATTTTACAATTACTAGACGCTGCGTATATTCTTTAGCGCCATTAATAATAACCATGACTTCCTTATGATAATAGTACGATTTTTATTGATAGAAGATTATTTATTTATGCGCGAATTAGAGTTTTAATGCGCACACGTTTTGAATGTAATTATTCGTCGTTTGCTTCCTGATATGTAGAAGATTATTGGCGATTATTATGCTGTTATCGCACTAAAGTTTGCATTAAGGAAGTTGTTAAATGTACACTAGGAATGTTCGTTCATCCTGTATAACTTGCAAATGCGAAATATACTCAGATAGGAAGACCTTTTATATGTCGTTGATGGATAACACTAAACTATGTCCATGCCCATAATTGCGAGAGGTATTAGGGACTGATAATAAATTTTAAGCGTTAAACGCAAAATTTTACCTCCCATATCTAGGAAGAAAGCTATTTTTGACGAGAAGATCTAAGAATATAATCGTAAAAGGGAATTACAAGTAATGAGTTATATCCAACGGGGCATTCGAATGATGAAACTAGATAACGAACACGTGCTAATCCATCTTCTCGGAAAATATAATTTAATAAGACGTGTGGTATTACAATAAAATAAAACTAATCAAGTGTGAGTTTAATTCGCAAGACGAGCGTTTCTTACAAATATACAAATACAATATTAAGTATATTAAGTATCTACATAGTTATTGTGTAACTTCGAAAAATCATTTTTCAGAGCTTCGTTACAATTTTCCTAGTCGTACATTAAAAACCTAAGGCGTTGTAATATTTTCTAAGATTAATGACCGAAATGTCTTCTAAAAATGCTTTTAAATGTTATGAGAAAAGTATTTTCGTATTTCTTATAGCGATCCCTTCTAATGGTAGGTACTCCACATAATTTTTCAAAATTTTCATCAGATTTAGATAATTTTTTTTAAGAGGACAGGGACAAAATGTGTAAAGTCAGATTGTTTGTAACTGTACTCCCTACCCTTCCTCTTGGACTTGATATTGTGCAATTTCTTAAAGTTCAAATTACAGGGCCCACATCTTGCATATTATATAAACTTCGTTTGTCACATTTTGATAATTTTGTTTGAAGAGAACAGGGACAAAATGTGTAAAGTCAGATTGTTTGTACTAAACTTACTACCCTTCCTCTTAGGCTTGAAATTGTGCAATTTTTGAAGTTCAAATTACAGGTGCCACATCTTGCGTATTATTCAAAATTCGTTTGTCAGATTTTGATAATTTTGTTTGAAGAGAACAGGGACAAAATGTGTAAAGTCAGATTGTTTGTAACTGTACTCCCTGCACTTCCCGTTGGACCTAAAGTTTTATCATTTCTTAAACTTCAAATTACAGGTGCTACATCTTGCATATTACTCAAAATTTGTTTCAGATTTTGATAATTTTGTTTGAATTACATTGAACAAAATCTGTAAAGTTAAATTGTTTTAACTGTAGTCTGCATCCTCTCTTTTGAACGAGAAGTTTTTCTATTAAGCAGTCAAAATGAAGTACTTTAGTGGCACAGATTATTCATTAGATGGCGATACGTTGCCTACATTTGGACATACAAGATTTATAAATGCAAATTATTAAAAATTGTTTTGTCAGATCTTGATAAGTTTATTTGTGGATGACGGTGACAAAATGTCTAAAGTTAGAATTTTTATAAGGATGCTCTCAGCACTTCCTTTTGAAACTACAGCTATGCAATTTCTGATATAAAAATTGCAGGTGCTGTTGTAACTAGGGTTGCCACCTTTTCAGACTTTACATAAAGTATTTCTCGATTAAAAGGTTAAAAAAAAAGTAGTCAGCATAAAAATAAAGTATTTTATTTTTTGTTTTTCAAAACATATTTTTTGTTACGCCTAGCAGACAGTAACAAATTGTTGTCGCTCTTAAATACATTAATAGCCTCTAAACATGGCAAACAAAGATTTAAATAAACTAAAAGTTCATTTTTAATTAGTTTTAATGAAGCTTTATTCCTGTCATCCCGCCACTTTGTGTTCATAATAGAGAATACTCTTTCTGTAAATGCTGAAGTGGCCGGAATGGACAGCAAAAGTGACACTACTTTGAACAGATTCAGGAAATCAGATTGTTCCGTAAATATGACTTGCCATTTTTCTGTGTAATATTATTGATGTAGAAATACTTTGAATTTAGAATAATCGCTTACAAAATTACGATATTTACTTAAGGCCTTAAATAAAGTATTTTTGCGTACTTTATGTGTCTTGTAAAGTATAACGTACGCACAGTCGAAATAGAGTACAATACTTTATAATAAAGTGCGAGTGGCAACCCTAGTTGTAACGTATATATTGTTCAAAATTCGTTCGTCATATATTGATAGTTTTTTTTTGTGATGAAGTCGGGGATAAATGGTGTAAAGCCAATTTTTTCTTGTACTCTTTACCCTCCCTACGGACCTGATATACTGCAATTTCTAAATATCCAAATTACTGTTGTCATATCTTTGCATATTTTTCAAAATTCGTTTGTCAGATTTTGATAGCTTTCTTTGACGAGGACGGTGGAAATATGTGTGTCATTATTCATATTGTAAAAGTTGCCACATGAAACTGACAAATGCGCATAAGAGACATTTGTATATCAAAACTTTTTAGAACCGTTAAAAATTATAAACCTATCTCTTTTTGTCGTATGCCGAAATTGTATAAGTCGGCCTTATTTATTTTATACGGATTTTGTTTGGGGGGTTTGATTAATTGCAAAAAAAGAAAAACAAACTTGAAATTAGACGATTCGTGGGACAACAGCGGTTTTGACTATAATATGTATATATGGAAACACAAGTCCTTCCAGTTATTGAATTTTTCAAGCGGTTCCTCATACAATATTCTTGATGTTCTCTATCTAGCATCTTCCGATATATTAATATTTCTGAACTAATAATAATTGCAAAATACACGTAAGGGTTAAGTTATTATTATGTACTCCCATCACTGCTCCACCCTTATAAAAATACCGCTTTATGAGCATGTTATCACTTTTATTTTGATTGCACGTTTGTTATTATGTAGTGGCTAATAATCCACACCTATTTTATTTCTGTTTTATAGTCTTATGCGCGCTATAATCAGTGATTTTGCACTTCAACCAGTGTTTTTATAACTTAAGTGGTTGTAGGTAATTTAGGGTTTTGTCAAATTACCAACTGCGTTGTGTTATGAACGAAACCTTTGATTATTTTAATCAGTAAAAGGTTCTAATATTTCAACCATTATTGTGTAGGAAGTAAGTCAATGATGCCTAGACCGCATTTCTCCCTATTATATTTACTTCAAGCTTCCAAAAATAAAAACACCAGTTGTTTTTTATTGCACATAAATAAAAAAATAATGGTTTATATGTAGATATGTAGCGAGGGCCCAAACAGTTTTAAACATACTAAACAATTTTCGAATGATTTATTGGACTTTTTTAAATTAAACGTAAATGTATTTCTCTTTACTACATCAAGGAACATTGCTACTAGATGGTAGTATGGATGTCAAAATAGCACTAAGTATATGCCTTATTTCTTTATTTTTGAATTTGAATTACATATTATTAAAACTTTAGCATAAATGCAATTTTTAATTCATGATGAAGAAACTGCATAATCGGCAGTGTAAGTGTAAAACAATTACAACATTTGCGAAAGCCACGCAGGGAAGGTATTTACCTATATGGGATAGAAATTTAAAATTAGTAAACAGAGATATTTGTGTTGTATAATATGCTAGTATTGCTTATCCGCGTAATAATTAGCCAAATATATCGGGTTGTTCGGAAAGTAATTTCGTTTTTTCCCGACAGAGGATTTAATTGTATTCTTTTGCACCCAACTTCACATTTAAGCCGTATAATTTTTATATGCTATGAGAGCTCATATAGCAAGGCTTGTGTGTGAAAAATTCCAATTAATTCTACGCAGTAGTTTTTGGTTGGTGCCCTTTTAAATATGGAGAGCGATAAGCAGCATTTTCGACATATCTTACTGTTTTACTACAGAAAGGGTAAAAATGCTGTTCAAGCCAGAAAGAAATTGACTGATGTGTATGGAGAAGGTGTGTTGACAGTACGCCAGTGCCAGAACTGGTTCGCTAAATTTCGATCCGGCAATTTTGATGTCGAAGATGCACCACGTTCGGGAAGGCCGGTTGAAGCTGATAAAGACGCGATAAAGGCATTAGTTGATGTGAACCGGCGAATAACAACACGTGAGATCGGATTGAGGTTAAATTTATCAAATTCAACAGTTTATGACCACTTGAAAGGCCTGGGATTATCCTCGAAGCTCGATGTATGGGTTCCCCATGTTCTCACAGAGAGAAATCTGTGTCGCCGCATTGACGTCTGCGATTCGCTTCTCAAACGTCACGAAAATGATCCGTTTTTGAAGCGCATCATCACTGGGGACGAAAAATGGGTTGTATACAACAACGTCAAACGCAAGAGGTCATGGAGCAAAAAAGATGAACCGGCTCAAACCATTTCCAAAGCCGATATTCACCAAAAAAAGGTGATGCTGTCTGTTTGGTGGGATTTTAAAGGAATCGTTTTTTTTTAGCTTTTACCGGATAACACAACGATTAATTCGGAAGTCTACTGTCATCAGCTGGACAAACTGAATGATGCACTTCAACAGAAAAGGTCAGAACTAATCAACAGGAAAGGTGTAGTGTTTCACCAAGACAACGCGAGACCTCACACAAGTTTGGTCACTCGCCAAAAGCTTTTACAGCTTGAATGGGATACAATGCTACACCCACCATATTCTCCAGACCTGGCACCATCGGATTATTATTTGTTCCGGTCACTCCAAAATTTTTTAGACGGTAAAACCTTCACCTCAAATGAGGAGGTCAAAAACCTCCTCGATCAGTTTTTTGCCAGCAAAGACCAAAAATTTTATGAGCGTGGAATTATGCTACTACCAGAAAGATGGCAAAAGGTGTTGGACCAGAACGGTCAATATATAATTTAATAAAGTATTTGTTTATTATACGAAAACTGTCTTTCATTTCCACAAAAAAAAACGAAATGACTTTCCGAACAACCCCATAGTAATCTGTGCGATTGCAATTGTCACAAAAAGTTCAGTTTTAGCTGGGCATTGATTTTCCACAGGATGCAGACGGAAACAAACAAAAATTTATTAATTTTGGTTATGTATCCTCGTCCTTCTGAAAAAGGGTAAACAGGTCACACCTAATCACAAAGGAGGTGAAAAAATAAATTAGAACGTTGACACACTAACACGCGTATAAAAGCTGCCGTTATTACTATTACTATTACGATTACGCTAGGTACCTACCTACAGCATTTATTGAACCAGAGTAGTTTTTGTTTTGTGGTTATTACATAGCATAAGTAAAAAATCGAGGATGCAGTTTAATTTACAGTTGTTGTAATGTTACCATAACGTGGTCGTCTCGTTCTATTAATGTTTTTCGTTGTCGCTAAACTCGTAGCTGTCATCAAGTTTTAATTGAAGCGCGAAGTGTTACAGTTCCTCGATACATTTAGTACGTAATTCCTTAAATTCCGACCAGTGTGTTTAATTGACGATTTTTGTTGGCGTTATTTGTAGCGAAAGGATCGTATACCGTCGCGAAATTTCATTCTATAATTAAACTTTTTTAGGAAGTGTAAACTTGTTTGTGTATAGACATTGAATTTCCGTGTCATTTTGATAAATACGAGGGTGGATTGATAAGTTTCCGGCCTAACCAAGAGATGACGCCACTAGGCCTACCTTGAGGTGACATTCTATAGTACCATCCTTGGATAGCTTGTAGCTATAGTTTCAGCCCGATCTCCTTGCTAGTGTAGGTTTGACAGCACGCTGAACAAGACGCCTCTGTGGTTTTCGTAAAAATGGAAAAGCAGGAAAATCGTGCTGTCATCAAATACTTTTATTTGAAGGGGTTAACGCCGAAGGAAATTAAAAAAGAGATGGACTCAACACTGGGGACATCCTCCCCGTCATATTCAACCGTTAAGCAGTGGGTTTCCGAGTTTAAAAAGGGTCGTGTGAGCACCTCTGATGGGCCTCGCTCAGGACGCCCCGTTGAGGTCACAACTCCAGATATGATCGAAAAAATTCATCAAATAGTGCTGGGAGACCGCAGATTGAAAGTGCGTGAGATAGCTGAGACCTGTAAGATGTCATATGAACGTGTGCAACATATTTTGCACCAACATTTGCATATGGAAAAGCTCTGTGCAAGATGGGTGCCGCGTTTGCTAACAGTCGACCAAAAATTGATTCGAAAAAACATTTCTACCGCAAATTTGTCATTGTATAAGCGTAATCCAAGCGAATTTTTGCGTCGATTCGTAACCGTTGACGAAACGTGGGTCCACCACTACACTCCTGAAACCAAAGAACAGTCTAAACAGTGGATTGGACCAGGGGAACCAACTCCAAAGAAGGCAAAAACAATTTTTTCGGCGAACAAGGTTATGGCTACTGTTTTTTGGGATGCAAGAGGTATTATATACATTGATTACCTTGCAAAGGGTAATACTATCACTGGTCAATACTACGCAGACTTATTGCAACGTTTGAGCCACGAGGTGAAAATTAAACGACCTCATCTGGCGAAGAAAAAAATCTTGTTTCATCACGATAACGCACCAGCGCACACGTCAATCGTTGCGACGGCTAAAATCAACGATCTAAAGTTTGAATTGATGCCGCACCCTCCTTACTCTCCAGACCTAGCCCCGAGTGACTATTTTCTGTTCCCTAATCTCAAAAAATGGCTTGGCGGTAAGAGATTTGCGGACAATGAAGAAGTAATCGAAGCTGTAAATGGTTATTTTGAGGAGCTTGACGAATCAGTCTATAGAGATGGCATTAATAGACTGGAACACCGCTATGAGAAATGTATCAGCCTTGGAGGAGATTATGTTGAGAAATAAAAAAAAAAAATTTTTAAAAACCTTGTTTTTCTTGGTCAGGCCGGAAACTTATCAATCCACCCTCGTAATAAGAAACTTTTGTTACGATTTTTTGGAATCTTCATCAACTAGCGCAGATTATTAAATTTAATTGATGCAAGTGAAAATTTGTTGAAAAAGTATATTTATGATTGCCCTATCTCTCGGTGAAAAAAAAAACTAGACTTCTTGTTGTAACTTGTGATGGTTTGTACACAGGTTGCTTACAATGTATACGTATTTCTACATGAGCACTTACCTAAAGTTCCACAAATATTAACTAAGACTAGAAAACCAGTTAAGCAGACGTAACATTTCATTTTGGTATCTGAAAAAAAAAAGAAGTTTCATATTAATAATAGCGATTGTTTGCCATAAAAGGATTTGACGTTACATCTAAAGGTTCGCGCACATTATCGGAATCGGACGGACGACACGAAATGGAAGAATATAAACTATGCACACACATGTGTTGTAATATATCTTAAAAAAATGATACGATGAACTGATCTATTTTGTTCAAAATTTATTGAATGCATTAGAAATTAAGAATTAATAATTCTTTGCTATACAACTTTATCTGTTACCCCTAGACCCCTAACTCTCATGATTTCAGCAATATCCTGTCTCCATCTTCTTGGAAAGGTGCTACGTTTTCTTTTTCCCGGTGAAATCAATTGAAAAATTATTATTGGCCATCTATCTTAGTTTATTCTCTGTAAGTGACCGCACCATGATAGTTATTTCCTTTCTATTGTGTCTAGGATCTTTCCTTCAACTTTCATTATTTCTCTAATTCTGTCAATTCTTACGTGGTTCACCTTTGAGATTCCACAATTTCTTCTTCAGTTTGTGATGTCCTACGTCAAAACATCATCATGCGTTCAGTCTTCTTGTAATTGCTTGTCAACCCCATCACTCATATTCTTCTTCCAGCTTCCTCAACATGTGGCTGGAGTCATCTTTGTCGTCAGCTATCAGAACCTGATCATCACAAACGGTAGCGTTACTTTACCAATGAGGAACCCCATTCCGTGACATTTGCATTTCCATTTTCTTGGGACTTCTAGATAAATCTTAAATAGAGCGGATGCTGGGGTCTTAGTTGTTAAATGACTATGAATTCTTCACTGATTTTATTGTCCTTTTACAATAGCATGTGTAGTAAGTTATTCCTTATCATTATAGGGTCAGTCCTAAGATTGGTTGGACACGCATCTCCACTATTTCCTATCGTGAGCTAATATTCGCATTTCCCCAAAACTAGAACAACCCATTTCTTTAACTATTTGCGAATAGTAATCTAATCTTAGTCTACCTCTCCTCCTTTCAACTCCAGTTTCTGCCTCTAATATGTCTCTGACTGGACCTTTATGCCTGAGAAGCTGTCCTACCAAGTTATTAAAGAATTTTTCACATGAGCCTGTGAATTTTTACTGTTGCAATTATAATATGTTCTCTACATATCTATAAGACATACCGTGAAGGTACTATAATTATGTTTTCTTATTTTGTAAAAAACGCTGAAACCAAATATATGCATTTATGTACGGTTCGTTCAGCTGGGAAACCGCCCAAGGCGAATTGATTTTGAGCTTGTACTTCTTACTATGTACAGAATCGTCTTCGACCATAGTCATTTTGTTATTCAATTAATCGTTTCTTCTCAATATGGATAATAATTTATGCGAAGGAAGAGGTTCAGTACATAATTTGAAATTGTAATATCGTCAGGAATTCTACAGAGCCGTTATAATATTGTGTATGTTATTTACCTTTAAGTAAATTATTACCTTCACTTGGATATTGATAGATAAAGTTGTTCACGATGTTCTTAGTTCTTATAATATTGCAAATAACGTGTACCCCGCATTGGGTCTATGTGCTTCAAAATTCTAAAATATAGTGTCTTGCCAAGAGATGTAAATTAAAATTAAGATATGATAATTTTTCTAATAACAGTATCAATTTTATGACTCCATGAGCATGAAGTGCAAATCCCAAAATACATTAAATATTTTATCTCTATCTTTATAAATAATTTATGTCACGAAAATCCTAATAATATTAGAGTACATTTTCAATGAACAGGCAGACAAAGTTCATAATTTTATTATATGGTACGTATCTACCCGTAAATTGTACTTTTTTTTAAAATGCTGTGGCAGAATATAATTACGAGGAAAACCGTAGTGAAAGTGGATCGTCTGCAATTTTCAGCTTACAATTACTGGCATAACGGTACCTTCAATTCAGATATTTATAGAATTTTAAATTCTAGTTTAATCTCTGTAATGTGCCCAGCAGTCCTGTCAGCTTAAATATTTATAGAATTATATCGTTTACATTTTCTGCTTTCGTTTCAAAGGCTTTTAATATATCTGCACTAGTATAGCATTTCCATTTTGATCAGGGCGTTTACCCATATCAACCTAACCAAGTCTTTGGTTCAAGACCATTATCTCTGCTAAATGTTAACGAGGGACCGGGTTGTCTTTAATAAAAAGAAGTCACTTCTATGCTCGCAAATTATTACTTTAGAAATTCGAAAAAGATTGTTAAAGGCGTGTATGTTTGGAGCGCGGCGCTTTGCGGGTGCGAAGCCTTGACGGTGGGCGCGGCGGAAACGAAAAGGTTAGAAACGTTCAAAATGTGGTGTTACAGGCCAATGATAAGGATACCGTGGATAGGGAAGGTTAAAAATGAAGCGGTATTGGAAAAAATAGGAGAACAGAGGACTCTATGAAGGTCTACTCAGAGAAAGAGGAGTAGATGTAGACCTAGATTAGATTACTGTTCGCAAATAGTTAAGGAAGTAGGATGTTCTAGTTTTAGGGAAATGCGAAGATTAGCTCAGGATAGGAAGGACTGGAGGTGCTTATTCAACCAGTCTTAGGACTAAGGACCTTATAATAATGAAATGTTAATCAAAAAGTGGATGCATATTCATGTATGAATAATGTGGTGATTATTATCAGTTCAATATGGCGTTGCTATTACTTTTTTGATTGGTTCATACAGACTATGTCGATAAAATAAACGCAGTCTTTCAATAATTTTATAGTACACTACAAATTATTTTCGAAGACTACTGACAGGCGTGAACCAAATGCTTCAACTTGTCGATTGTTTCAACCTATGCGAATCTTTCCCGTTATCTAGTAGCTATGAGGTAACTTAGCCGTCAATTAAGTTTTTATTCGTGCAATTTTACATAGTTCGATGTTCGCACGGTATAATGTATACGCATAAATATCTTAATTAAAACGTGTAGCGTTGCAGACTGGTTTCGTAGAGATAGGTATGCATAGGTGCGTAGAAGACAGGTGTCCTATGAAGATTAACTCGGATCATAGGTATCCACGGCTTCAGTACCATTTACTGCTCAGTTGACTGGCACCAGTAAGCACGGTGGATAAATATCTTTTCGCATAGTGCTGGGGAATCGGCGATAGAACCAGTTTTACGCACCGTCTTAGAATCAGCATTTTACGTAGGAATATTAATTTTGTTTGCGGCGCTTTCTATCTTTGTACCCAGTTACGTGAGCAATCCTATTAGATCCAGATCAAGGAAGTGGTAATAATTTTATGCTTTAGCACAGCTTGCTCAGCTAAACTCGCTCCCAGCTTCGCATCTGCATAGGCAATAGTAATGGCAAATCTCAACCCGGTTGCGATGGAAAAAGATGCAATCACCTGCTGCTTCAGCAAACTACCGTGATGGTCTCAGTGTTATACTTGTTTTAATTATTATTATTAACCACGGTAGGTAAGGTTCCTACGGCAATATTGATATTTATCGGCATTGCTACTAATTTCTTTGCGCAATATGCATAATGTAGTTAATCAAGGATTTTTTGTTGTTTTAGTTGTATAGATACTTGGTCACTTGAACGACTCAGTGGGTGACGACGTTGTAGCATTTTTTCAGAGCAATTGTAGGAATTTTTAGTGATATTGTGTTTATTTCGTGATGCGAAAAGTTAATGATCATATGACATTTGACGTGGTTGAACAACTTAGGAGGGGCTAAAACGGTTAATTATGATGATGAATGATATGTATGTTAATTATTAATACGATCTCATTGTAAAGGACGCCGCTAAATTCTTACGGAAAATGACCCTCTGTCAAATTCCTTACGAAAGAATGCAACTTTAAGGGACCATATCTCAAAAACACTTAGCGCCCATTGGTACTTTTGATATACACATCGAGAATTACCAAAATCCGAAGTTTTAAAGAGTTTTAAATGAACGAAAGCAACTACAACATTAAAAAGCATCGTTAGATGTATGTATAGAGGCTGTTTCCGAACAGGGGTGGTCAACCCGAGGCCTGCATTATACATTTTTCCATCGTCCAAAATTGACCATCGTTTTACAAAATATACCTATTTATTTTACAATGGTCACTGACTTTCTGTATCTAAGAATTCAGATAATTCAGAATGGAAGGAGTAGCAGAGATATAAAACAAAAGCTAGAAAGGAGAAGGTAGCAGAAAAGTAGGAAAACAGGACGCTATGGAAGTCAATAAGAAATAAGCGAGATAGGTTGGTAGGAGGACACCTTCGCAGGCTTAAGGGGCTAGTTGGAGACATATTAGAAACAGAGAAAGGAATTAAGAGGTGCAAAAGTAGAACTACATAGATTAGATTATTATTCACAAATGGTTAAGGATGTGGGATGTTATTATTTTTGGGAAATGCGAAGATTAGATCAGGACAGTTCCTATGTTCATGATGATGATGGCAAAAATGACCAAAATAATGAAAACCAATATATCAAAAAATAGATTATTTGCGCAACAATATATTCAAAAATTAACTGTTGAAACTATAAAAAAAAATTAACTTTGATTTTAAAACAATTATCTTGTGAATATATGACGAATATTGCCTGTTTTATTAATGAGTTTACAGTTATGATTTCAAAAAATCTCTATAGTGCATGTAAATCTAATATGGAGGCATTTCATTTTACATGCAGCCCAAAATGGTCCTCAAGATCATTTGGGTTGACTACTCCTGGTCAAGAGGTTTAGATCATTGCTTAGCCATCGGTTAGATTCCTCGTTCATCCACCCTGGTCTAAGTTTTTTCCAACCACCACCACCTACTCATTCTCACGATTCTTAAAAGGAGTAGTCCAGAGGGGCTGCCTCCCACCAGCGTCAGTAATTGGTGGAAATAAAACACACAAAAGTTTTCAAGTTTTCCTTCAAGTTTTCTGTAAACAACTTGTGACAAACGACATGATTCATAACGAGTTGTGGGTGAGCCGTCTATCAATTCTTTTCGGTAATTAATAAATGACCAGAACCA